ATGCCGCGGAGGCAGGGTGTCGTATGGAACTTTCTGACTTGGCAGCCTGAGCTTAGCTCCACCCAATGACCAAATTGTTTCCAAATTCCAAACCATACCTATCCTGGAACATTTCCCCCCCATTGATTTGAATTTTTCAGGATGTTGGCTGTTGGAATACTTTTGAGTGTTGATGTCTTGAGGCTGTCTCAATTCATACCCGAGAATGGTTGGCCTTTCACCCTGGAATTTATTACCACAGTGAGTCAGGTTTTCGAACACCTATTTTGCCAACACCTTGGCCACGGACACCTTCCGCGAGTCGCAGGTAGAACAGATGGCCTGACACATGCAGCAGTCAGTTCACTTGGTGAAAGAAAACAGTCATAAACCATCACAAACCATTCTTTTGATGCTTTCTTTTTTTCGCAAATTTTGCATGAATCTACCAGGAACGGAGTGGATAAAACATCCCCCTATCGGAGCTTCATTAATGGGCTTACACTTACACGTATTGCTCTTGCATTTTACTCTCACGGCCAGGATTGGTTTCAGCATGAGCGGGGCAATGCCATTGAAATGAGGACACCCTTGGTTGCAGGGTCCACACATCTAGGCTTTGTCGCAATTTCGTTTGAATCTTCCAGGCTGGAGTCGTTGACGGCTGAATGTGCAAGTCTTTAAGTTTTTACGGGAATTTTATTGGGCAATTTTAACACAAGGCCATTTAAGCGATCAGCTGATCATGATTCCCCATCATGCGCATCATTGATGAAATTCACAACCTGAGGAAATTTCTTTTTCCGTGCTATATCACGAATGGATGTGCATCGGATATTTGAGGACGCCACGGTATTCTCCAAGTCCATCCCCTCGTCGGCAAGGCGTGGTTTACTGAGCCTAGTGAGCCTAGTTGCTGTGTGAAGGATGCAACAAGTTGTTGGGCATGGAAACACATTATCCTGGTGATAAAATGATGTAAATGTAAAATCCAAATCGCGCGGTGGACCCTTGGCAATGATTGGAGAAATTGAAAGAGAGGCATATTTTTTTTGAGATCTTTTGATATCTCTTTGATATCAAGGCCTCTTCGACAGTCCGGCTGGGGCGTCACCGGGAGCTATGCGACGATGTATGTGCTTGCCTAAGGGCTGGTGACTGCGCGTGGTCAACTTTCTGGGTCACCCCACTTTGTTATCCATCGGCAAATGAGGGGAGTTGTTAAAATGGGGCATACCCAAAACAATAGGACTAAAATCTAAAATTGACTAAAATGGTCTAATGTAGTATATACATGTATATACCCCCATTTTAAGAAGCATTGCAGCATTGAAATGAACCGCGATGGTTTTTGGTGGAAGATCAAACCAGAGAAAACACAGAAATTGTCAGAAGAATGAGGTCTGAGCGTGGCCTTGTCAAACCACAGGCGACCGCTTATTTTGGGACAGTTTTTTTTTTTTGCGGCGAATCTGATTCTGATCAACCATAAAAGATGGGGATCTATTGAGTGGGGAACATCCACAACTACCTGCTAATCATTCCAAGTTTTTCATCAGCTATAGATTCCAAAAGATGCAGTGATTTTCCTTACCTGATTTACCTGTCATGGCAAGATTCAGAACGTTAGGAGAAGCCAGTGAGCCTCTTTAACCGTGACGAGCGCCGTCCTCAGAGATTTTGGCGATGAAATGCAGCATCTTCTCCTTGATTCTCTTCCTAACTGATTATATATATATGATATATACGTATATATATATATGATATATATATGATATATATACATATATATATTATATATGATATAAATACATGTTACATATATATATATATTATATATGATATATACATATATATCATATATATATATATAATATGATATATACATATATATCATATATAGATATATGATATGATATATATATATATGATGTATGTATGATATATATATATATATGATATGATATATATATATATGATATATATATATATATGATATATATATATACATACATGATATATACGTATATTATATATATGATATATACATATATTATATATATATGATATATATATAATATACATATTATATGATATATATAGGATTATCTATCATATATATAATTATATATGTATAATATTTTTTGTCAACACTTGGCTATGTATGCATCTAAGCATTGATTCTATGCCCATTTGATATGATCCGATTGCAGAGACAGCCAAACATCACTTTGTTTCAGGCCGTTCTGGACCAGCCCTCGGTCGCCGCGGAGTTGGAAGGTGAACTTTTGGGAGAAATTTCCGAATTTTGATGGTTTGAATCGGAAATTGATTACCAAAATTTGAGATGATTAATGAGAAGGTAATGATGTCCGAATTACCATTTTATCCCATTTGATCTCACTGTCAGTTGATTTTGTACTCGGAAGGAAAATCTGAAATCATCCGTCTTGCAAGAACAAAAGAGTACTGGGCGGGATTTCTTGTGGCCATGCAGCTCATCTTAAGACATTTAGTCCTCGCTGTAAAAAAAAATGATGGGTGGATCAGGTTGCTTTCCTTAGAGACTTTCAATTTCAAGTTGTTGGAACAAAATGAGATTCAGTCCCTGTACGGACACCAACTGAGAGACGATTCCCAGACACTGTGTGACAGAGACAAACACTTAGACTATACAACCCATCCGAGGGTAAAAACCTTTGAGTGTACATCTTAAAGACCTATACTTATAGACCCCCATCCTCATAATCTTCCATACCTTTGAGGGCCAGCACCCTCAGTACGCTTTGAAAAGGCAGATCATCCTGCAAGTGCGGCACGCGGCAGGCGGCGATCCGTGCGAAGACTTCAGCCACAACAGATGCCCCCAAGGTTTTGTTTGAAGCAAGATATACCAAAATCCGCTGATAAAAATCATCATTTTCCACATGAAACAAAAACAACTTGGGGAACACACCCAGCAATGCTATTGGGGTACTGTAGCCGGAGTAATCTCAATGCCACACTGGGAGCTCAAGCGCCAAGATCGGGAGGTTTTCCGCTCCATTGCCTGCAGGTCTACCGAGACATTGCTGCCCTTGAAGATGAGGGAACTCAGCCCACGCGACACATTGCAGGAACAGCCCGGGGAATCGTCAAGGAAGACATGCTGTCGATGATTTGTTCCGAACTTTAAGGCCATGCTGGTACAAGTCTCTTATACCAACGTACTTGTGTACACTTGACTTGTAGTATCTTGTGTGTACTTTTCTATACTTTTACCCGCCCTCTGTGTAGTGGAACTTGTACTTCTCTGACAGACAAAACCATCCGAACCTTTCAGACAAAAGCATCCAAGAGCGGTTTTGAATGATGTTGCAGGTACATGCGCATGTTAGAATTTCCAAGACCCAACCGTTCAACCAGAGGTTTCCTGAAACGCCTGAAATACCGACCATTCCGGAACAGAATTGTGGCAGGATCGGCCTCCTGCCGGTAGGCTCGGTCCGTGGCTTGGTTTGGTCAAGGGCAATTTCCCTTAGTGAAAAGCTGACACATTAAATTTCCAGTGGAAAATAGATGAAAATGGTAGGCACTAGATGGCACTAGAGTTCTTTTAAGTTTTCACCAGAATTAATCCCAATGCATGCGATGTGTGGAACCTCCTGCGCAAAAACACCCAAAAAATTATGGGCTGCTCCACCACCAGCCATCAGCAAGTGTACCGATTCAGGATTGGTTAGTATTATATGTTAGTATTTCCATTTATTGTTGGTTGGTTCAGGGATTCCCCATGCTATTCCCAAATTAAAGCCCTCATTATCCCATTTTGGTTATTCCCCATGCAAAATTATCCCCTTCCAAAATCGCCAGACATTAGGGTAAATCCCATGTTTGGACACACCCAAAAATCACGTCGTTGGATGTATCCCCATTACATCCCCATGTATGGATGGTTAAGATCTCAATATCCATCCAGTTACGAATGGTTGATTCATCATATCCCCGCTATATCCCCCATCATGGTGCTATATATTCTCAATAGACCCCCATTAGGGCGCTGTACACGCAAACACACACACACACATTTTCATTTATATTATATTATGATATGTCTAGAATTAGTAGTAATAACACTAATGATAATAATATCAGTAATAATAACAATAAACGATAAAGATAACAATTAGCAGCAACAAGAATCAAAATACTAGTAGAAGTAAGAATAATAATAGTAATAATAATAGTAATAATAATAATAGTAATTGTATATAATACGTATAGATATATATACACATTTACACACATACCAATCCTCAGTAGTTCAACCAGTTCCAGTTCCGCCCCGGTGCCAGGTCGAAGAGCCCCACCTTCGACGTGTCCGAAAACTGGATGGCGTCGCTTGTCGAACGCAAAGCTGGGTTTTCGACCAAGAACATGTGGAAAGATATCATGTCATATCAGAAATCCGAAACCATACATGATATAAATTATATATCATGTTTTTTTTAGATATCGTATCGTATCATATCATGTAGTTTGATATTTTTATCTAATTTGCATGTGTAGATAGTATATCCTACAAATATCATATATATATGTATATATGTATATATGTATATCAGCACCCCCCAGCAAAACAAAACAACAACCGAGCCATGATACCTCCATGCAGGCTTCACTGCCATGCTGAGGTGGTCGAGACCGCCAGAGCCTGTGTCTCCGAGATGCGATCGCAACATGCCGCCAGGGCCGCAGGAAAGAGTCCCGTCGGGTTTTTCCGACTCCCAGGATGGTTGAAAAAGGTTGAAAAAGGCCCAAATGTCTTTGTTTAGTTGAGGTGTTTATGATCTTTATGATCCCTAAATATAATTAAATATAATACCATCGTGTTTGTATCTCACCAAGCAGCAATGGACCGAGCCCTGTGTGTCAGGTCCTCCAATTTCCAGAGCCCTGTGCGGCGGATGCACAGTGGTTGGGAAGCTCAGCGACTTCCACAGATTTCAACCCAGGGCAGTGCTAGATATTTGTCCTGGGTAGACTGATAAACACAAACCAAAAAAACATGTTGTTGGGTTTCTGTGAGGGTTCGCTTTATGACGTGCCAGGGGATGTCGGAGGGATTTGACGCACTTTGATCAACTTCTTCTTGGATTCATGTTTCATCTGAATCATCCGCCAACCCTGCTGCCTTTGGCTCACCGTCCGCAAAAGCGTTGGCCCAAGGCAAAATCACTCGCAACTCTGAAAACTGGTGCGGGCCTCTGGGAAATTCTGGTCTGGTTGGTTTAGTGTTCATTTTTGGATATCTTTGGCACAAGGGGACACTGTTGGAGAGTTTCGGAGGAAAGAATGTCCTGGCTCCTTGGTGTCTCGAGTACAGCTCCTGAGATGACATTGGAACCACTCAGCCAGGTTGCGCAATGTGACAGATGGCCAGGACGTGGAAATGGGAGACCGGAACGGGACATGGCATGTGGTGTAGTTGCAGGGCGAGGGTAGCCCGGATGACATTCACGCCTGCAGGACTCCATTCAAGCACGACCTGCAGTCGATGGTTAAACTTGAGTTTATACTGGCAGGTTTTGTGATGTGTTGTGGGAGATGATGGGAGTTTTGGAAAGCAGAGCCAGATGATACACCTTGCAGGATGCCAAGCCTTTGCCTCCAATGATTGCCAACAGCGCGGGCGCTCAGCTTTGCTGGGCGGTGATCTCAGGGATACCAAATTTCACACTGGTTGAAGAGATGAAAAGAGATGATCCCCACTTTGATTTCTTTTCCCTAAGGCGAGAACTTCCACATCTCTCGTGGCAAGAAGACTGGGATCTACAAGGAGCTAATGCAAGCCAAGGGCTTTTCCTTCGTCCCATGTTGGATCTCAAGTTGCATGACTCCTAGGATGTTGGAATTTGGGTTTTGATATGATGATTTCGCTTCATTTTGGCAAATTTCATTTGCCTTGCTTTGGAGCCAGCCAAGTTCGGCCGCGGCGAGCTGTTTGCAGCCTTTCGGGGTGCTGCGACAGCCAACGTATCCTAATCATTTCAAATCCATAAGTTGTCGACTCCAGACTCGACACCATCAAAAACGAGATGTAAAGTCAATCCCCTAGAACATCTTCATTTTCGAACTTGACGCAAGTTGAGATATCAACAGACTTGCAGGTGGGAACAGGAAGCAAACTTGAACAACTTGGCAGCAGATCTTGTTCTATCCCTGAATTGGTCTTCCTTCACAGAGAAGCTATGGCCCATGGCCCTATGATCCGCCATTTTTGGGACCCAGCAGGGCTGGGCTGGGAGGATCTAGACATCGCGAAGCACCTGGTTCGCTTTGAAGCTGACAGGCGGCGGTCTTTGGATGCTTGTGGGGTTTCCAACATTTTGACCTGATAAAATGGGAAACCACGAGAGATTATATATACATACTGTATATATATATATATACAGATACAATCATATTCAATAATATACATATATACATATACACATATGTACATATATATATATATATATCTGTATAAATGTACGTATACAAATGCATATATATATATACATTGAAATGAACAAACATAGCGAGAATGCAGATCCAACGGTTCAAACCGGCGATTTAATATAATCAACGCAATTTTCTTGTGAATTCGGGACCCATGGGGATACAACCTGGAAGTGCGCACTAAAGAAACGAGGTCCATGCTTTTTGTGTCATAGGACATGTAGCCACTTAACTGTGAGATACTCATGGCACAGTTCTGAACAGATGTTGTCTTCCTTTCCAAAATGCATGATTTATTCCAGTATTCCTTGAAAGAAAACATGTATTTGTATTCATGCAAACAACGCAGCAGTTCAGGCAGTGTCATTCCTGTCGAAAGTGCTCTTATTCCCTTTGGAAAAGTGAAGTCCAGGGTGCTTCGAAATATTGAGCACTGAAAAACTGGAGGAACCCCAAAATGGAAAACACCTATAGACAAACATCCCCCCAAACAATCCAGAAGTGGTTACTTTGGGGACCCGGAAAACCGTTTTCCACTTTGATGTGGTTGATTCTTTTAATTGGTGGATGCAGAAGCTAAACTAAAAGATATAGTTGTCACTATACTGTCATGCATCAAAATTCGACTTTGTGCCAGGAACACTCAAGCAGATGTGTATGATACGATTTGCCGCCAAATTTCGACCTCAACTCAAATCTGTGTTCTATTAGAAAAGGATAAACAGGTACTCTTTATGTCAAAACATAAAGTATCAAACACGGTGGCTTTTTGGGCCTCCTGATTCCTGGCAACGTTTCAAATTCAGAAATAACCACGTCACCGTCCCACCAGCAATAAAATGATTGAAGGACGCATTTCAGATGGCCAGCCTTATGTGCCACCAACAGACTCAGCTGCCCAGCCGTGGCAGGGTGCCAGCTGCTCCATTGAGCCATCGAAGGCATGACTTTGCAGATCATCCGCAGGCGGATTGGCGGATCTTGGGCGCGAAGGCTTGATTCAGCCCACCTACACCCCCCCCCCAACAAGAGGTGTTTCAATGAGTCCAAAGTGGGTCCAAAGTGGATTCGGAATCCATAAATTTCCAACATGATCTACGAATCTACTGGTGATTCACCAGTAAAAAGTAGGTGCCCCTTCCGCAGGCAGTGAAGCATATGGAAGAGTTGAGGACATTGAGTCCACGGAGGCCATATTGGACCCAGAAAAAATGCATCACCACTGGTGGTCACCTGTTAGCGACCTGCGACTGGATCACTGACCCAGTGAAACTGGCTACAAATTGAAAGTATTCACTAACTATTCACTTTGCTCAATGGTTCTTAAAATTCCGCGCTTGCAGCCAGGGAATTTTCATTTCTATGTCAGCTTCCTACACAATGCAATAGTCAACAATCCCAAGTGACTGCCAAATTGATGGGACTTGGCTCAACAGCTATGAAAACTCGGATGGGCATCCCAGTTGTTCCGTGCTGAAAATAACCACGGTATACACCAGTTGTAAATGATTTGTAAATGAGTTGTACATAGGTTGGTATCCAGTTACCAACTCATTATACTCATTTGCAACTGGTTTCCGCATATTATACAATTTGCTTCCTATTATCCAGTTATAGCAACCCCAAATAAGGATAGAATATGATAAAAACATATATTATTTGTATTAATAATTATTAATTTATCACTGCTTCACCAGTGGATTCGACTTTTCTACATCTTTTTGGTGGGGGTTGCTTCTCCATACAGGATTGCAGAGGCTGCCCGGGCGGATCTTACAAGTCCAGGCCCTGGGTCATGGAAGGACCGGGCTGGGGAGTCAAACTTCACGAAGTCACTAGGACTGGGAGTTGTAACGGCGAAAAACGGAGGTTTGTAAGTTGTCACCACCAACTGTGCAGGCTTTAACAAGAAAGTTTGCTGGTATGGGATGTGACTAGTTCAGAGTTGCATTGACAGACCAGATCTTGACTCCAACAAGGAAAAACCACAGGAAGTGTGTTAGATGGGAATGCTTCCAACCCGTGGATTTTAGGCCATACCCGAATGTGGGAACAGCAGTGCTGGCATGGCATATCCAACTGTTTTTTTCGCGGCCAGGCCGTCATAAATCTGTTGCTGCAGATTTTGGGCACCGGACGAGTGGAGAGATGGTGCGATGTTTGTTGGGCATGGGACATTTGGGGACACAGAACGGAAGGGCGCCAGGTTGAATTGAAAGAAGGATTCGTAAGCGGGAGGTGGGCTTGGAAAATGTTCTCAAGGGGAGGCTTTGTAGGCAATGATGGTGTAGAGAACCTGTCAGCTTGTATAAGGAGTTTGCAGCATGACTTCAGAGAAGCTGGGTGTAAAGATTTGCCGAGAGTAGTGGTCGAGGCAATTCAACAAGCTGCTGTAGGAAGTTTGTTGATTGGATGTGGAGGGGATGTCTTATACCAACGGGCGCGGACAAAAGTCCCGTGCAGCCATAAAAGCCAATCGCTAGATCCCCATGATTCTGGGGCAAGACATACCCTCTAAGAGTCCCCTGTGCTGAGATATCATTTGAACAGGAACGGACAATTCGGACCGATATTCACAGGAACCTTCACCGTTAGAACATCAGCACTTTCCAGTTCTATCCTTTACCGCTGATTCCCCGAGGGTAGCTCTCTATTTTCCGGCCACAGCTCCACGAAACCAGTGAAACCAGGCTGCTGCGGTGCAGCCTGAGCTGAGCCCCAGGGCTGCTGGTGCTGAGGCGGCGAGTGATGACCAAGCACCATGGGACAGATGGCTTGGTATATTTGAATGTGGGAGTTACATTTCATTTATGCTATTAAAAAAACATATTAAAGATGGGGGCAGGAAATCAACTACCATGGGAATTTAGTTGAAAATGATCGGATATGATGGGAAACTATGTGATATTGGTTTGTCCATCCAATTCATGGCCACCAAAAATGATGGAACATCATTTTCTCGACAATGAACACCAGTTTCCGACCAACACCAGTTTCTAGACTGCAGATCTCTTCGGATCTGTAGTTCTCAGTTTTTTTTGAATTTTGATGACCTTCATGAAACAAATCCTGGATTGCTATGAAGCGTAATTCTAGACAATCTGAGACTCTCAAATCAGTGATATTCTTGGTGATCCCTCGCCTTGTGGCTGATAGAATTTACTCGCCATATTAGCGTGTCACATTACCATGAGAGAAGATCTTTTGGGATCATTCCCTGAAAACCTGGCACCACCCACTTCAAAGACATGGCATGCCGGAGATCAACATTTGGACTTGTTGGATGGAACAGCCAATGGAACATGTTGCAAATGTATGCAAAGGTTGCAACCAAGAATCAGCAGTTCGCATATTGATGCAAATAGGGAACGCAGCTCACCATGTGACCGCGACCAGAAATATGTGGTGGGCGATGAGATCTTCGACATGGAAAACAACGGCCGGCGGAAGACCGATCTGCGAAAGGCACTTCGGATGGCTGGAAGTTGGGGATTGGGTAGAGGTAGATCACTCTGGTCAACCGTTGCATTGTTTTGATGAATCAGTTTCAGTAGTCTCAGTACATGTACAGTACTGTATCTTAAACTACATTACAACATATTACAACACACATCCATGATTTTGACAGGTTCGTTTGCAAATGTTTGCAACATCGTTTTTAATTTGCGATCTTTGACGTGTTTGGGGACAACGCAAATTTTCCCGGCAGGCGAGCATCCGGCACCACAGCAACTCGGATGTCGTGAGAACCTCAGGAATCTGAGGCTAAAAAAGACATGGAGATCATGGAGTTATATATATACATACATATATATATATATAATTATGCGCTTATTTACAGATCTCGTGATGATGATGGTCTGAATTTCATAAGAAAAGCTCCTGAAGGACTTGTGTAAAGCCCATTGCGAGGTCAAAGATCATCTGCAACCGTTCGCTGCCCAGCCCGATGAGGGTGTCAGGTAAGTGTAACACTATAAAGCTGGGTCCAGCCACGTGGATCAGACACATGACTCAGATCAGAGCCGCAGCTTAGGTCGCCCTTCACATCAGCCATCCCAGGGTCGAAAGAAGAGGCTGAAAGACGCTGGGACACTCAATCCACTGAAGAGTAGACTATAGCAGGCTGCAGGCGGCTTCCTGGCTGGGTGGCAGGTTGCAAAAGCAGCAGATGGGTGGAGTCAATTTCCCAAATCTAGCCAGCTACAAGAGAAGGAATGCTGATTTCGTGTGAGGTCACAAGCGGACATTAGAGTATACGACTCTGATACTTACAAATGATTATGATATGGTTCAACAATACTGGGCCGCGACATGGATAAGCTCCTCCGAACCAGACGGTTTCTGCTGTGTAAAGAATTCGAAAGGGTCATCAGGTGTTCACGTCTATGGCGACTTCTCGGTGACACCTGCCACCATGCCCAAAGACACCGCCTACATCCACTCTGGCCTGAAGGTGGTCAAGCGGGGAAGCTTACACCCGCTGATTGAAATAGTGGATTTATATGGATTTATATGGATTTATATGGATTTATGTGGATTTTGTGGCTTCCCCAACTCGTGGATACTTCGTTTGGTGATTAAGACGAACCCGCTAAGATGTGGAGTCCATCCGGACCCCATTAGCAACTTGCCGCATCGATCCCCCTGTGCTCAGGTATCAAACCCGTTCTCCCGGCGCCTTCTCACCCAATGTCCCACACTCAGTCTGCGGATCTGAGCTTTGAATTGGGGACGGTCAAGGATTTTGTTTTCGTGCCATTCAAACAAATCCACCAACATATATCAAAATCGTCACACACACACACACGGTTGTTGATGGTGGGAGGTTTCACTTTTTCTTTCTTTGTGCCCAAAATGGGATCATGAACGCAGCATTGAAACATATTTTTTGGCCTGGAAAAATCGATTGATTTGAGGGTCTGGTGTTCAACCTATCCCATTCTTCTGTCGATGTCGTGCCCTGATAACTTCAGATGACTTCAGGCACGGCGCGTTCCAGCCCTGCAGATGATCCGCAGTCCAAGGCAGCCGCATTTGAATTGTGGAGGATCCATGTCCCAGATATTGGAATCAGTCTGGATATTGTATACGCGTTACGTAAGCAGTGCTTCTTGCTGACAGGAATCGGACAGGTTCAGTTTTGCAGCTGTTTGGGCCAAAATTAGTAATGTTTGCGTCGACGGGTGAAATACAATACTATCCAGGATTCGTTTTAGGGATCCCGATATTGGATTGATTAATCCATAATCAGAATTTGACCACTTTGTATTACTTAGTACAACTCCGTTTGCAACCAGGGGGTTTCGGCCCGCGTTCAGTTGGGTACGGCACTGGCAGGTAAAGCCCAAAGAGGCGAACACACACTGCGGCCCACCTGCGACTGATGCCGGCTGCGCAACACGCGCGGGGCGTCGGGCAATTGTGTGCACGCTTTACGGGTGCAAGGAAGGCAACAAGTTCCGGGACCCCCGAAAGAACCAGAGGTTGTGAAACTTCAGAAGGTGGTTTTGAACATGGAAAAGATTTCACAAGGTAGAAAGCAGGTCTTTGGGAGCTGTGGGCTACAGCTGGGGCTTTCTTTTGTCCTCGCCGGCCGATGCTGAGTATGATATGACCCCGGCTGCAAGTTGGGGCATTGAAGGAGGTCAAGATGATTCAAGATGTCTGAAAGAAAGGGGCATCTTTTTCTCAGAGCCAAGACTGCCTTGGCGGTTGGGAATGCTTTTATTTTGAAGGAACTACAAAGTGACTAGGTTAATCATAAGGAAAACCAATCCAAGTGACAAATTTACTGGTGGGCCTTGAGCCTCAATGGATGATAGAACCCTGGTGTAGGTGTTTCGCTTTACAATTTTTGTTTAAACAATTAAGTGATCATTTGGATGCTACCCATGCAGCTGCGGTTGGTGCATTGCAGTGCTGGCTCCTAGCCCTGGAGGCACCAGGGGGGAGATCCATAGTAGTACCTCAGGATGATCCAGTGCCTCCCAAATCCTTCAGTTGATGCTGTATTTTAGGTAGGGCATCCTATGAGTTTGGGGCTAGCAAAGTTTGAACCAAGGCCTACGATAGTTTGATGCATTGCAGTTCAGAAGGATCTTCTAAACACGCTGAAAGCACAGGGGGCCCTTGCCTTGACTACTCATGCTGACTGCACTCAACAAAAGGGCAATTCCGTCAGAAAAGGACTTAGCGTCATCAGATTTGTTGCTTGGAAAAGACGAGTGGTTCCAGCATGCTTTTGTTTGATCCGAAGGGTGGAGGCAGGGGATTTGTTCGATCCCTCACCTCTGCAGTGAGTTGCCGTGGTCAATCCACAAGCCCTGGAGTGGCAGCCAAAGGAGGGTAAGCCGCGAGGTGTTTCCCTCACCTCCGCAGCAGAGCATTTGCAAGTAAGCATTCGGATGGAAATGTGTACAATGGATATGGATGGATATAAATGTGATGGACATCATTATTATACAATATGTATACGTATATATATATACACATGTAATCACATAATGTATATGAATGGATAACACATATTTTCATTTCCATCTGGGATCCATCTTATGAGATCTTCAAATCACAGGGACCACGTTTCCGGCGTTTCCGGCTGCAGTCCAAGGGCTTAAGCCTGGGCACAGACATGGTGTGCTCTGTCGGGATGCTTTGCAAATGTAAGCACTAATGCTAAGGCGAACCCTTTGGGAAAAAGTTGCAACTGGGGGGAGGAAGGTCACTGACGGAAAGTGATGGGGGAGAAGTCAACATGGTGTTAGGTGTAGCAAATTCGATTGATCGTTTGTGGATATTTGTGGCCAGGTTCTGTCCAGGTTTGCGGGTTTTGATTTCCGGGGCCAGTTTGGTCCCAATAGCCAGTCTTAGAACCGCGGATGGCTTTATAAGCGAACAGTTCTGCCTTGAATGAATTCTCTGCAGCTATTGGAATATTTAAACGCCCAGAAAGTGAGATTCTTGTTGAAACTGAGTGGTTGAAAGAAGAGTGCAGCATGGGGCTGCAGACCAGCATTTTCTGCCAGAGCCAGAAGCACTACTGGTAGACAAGGAAGACGGTGAGCAGCGTGCAGAAGCAACAACAAACACTTGGACACGAGAAAGAAAGACACCCCGAAGCCATACCTGTGACCTGCAAAAACATCAACAACGCAATGCGGACAACACCACAAACCTGAAGAATCAATTTCTTGCCGGGTCAAGTAGACCTGTTTTTCCTTTCAGCATCCTGGCAAAGCGACATTTGACCCATTTGACCAATGATGGGAGTCGGGAGTGGCTTCAGCATGACAGCCTTGGCCGACTAGTCGCCTTGGCGTCCTTTCGAAACCTGGCCTCAGTGCAGCGGCCCATGTTCTGGGACCTCAATGTTGCCTGGGATCCCAAACGCGCTGCGGCCTCGGCAGACTTGGCGCTCAGGTGGGCGCCATGCGGGCGTGCGGAATACAACCCAGGTAACTCGATCCCACAGATGACCTGAATACAACCCGTCTGTCGTTTACTGGGGGATGTTCATTTGTCTTCTTTTGTTTTGTCCTAAAGTCATGTGCCATCATGTTCCAAGTGTGAAGAAATTGAGGGATCTCATATTTTTTTCCACATGATTCCTTCCCAGAGTTGGTGATCGCGGCCAGTTCTGACTTATTGGCAGGTTTGGTTTCGCTGGCCAGGGAACCCTACCTGTGAGGGGACAGGAGAAGTTTCACATGTGATGGGAAACTTCCTTAAGTGATGTCAAACTTTCTTCAGTTGGCAACCTTTTCCTACTGCCCAGTGATATATATATATATGTATATATATATATGTTTATTTATACATATATGTTTCATTTAACGCACAATTTTCAGACCTCTTCTTTTTTCTGCAGGGATTGGATGGGATCATTTCTGCTCCTGACATCCCCTGGGTCCGAGGCCTTGCATACAACGTGACCTTGCAAGGGCAACAGCTGCTGGAGCTGCAGGAGCATCGGCTGGCGCCCCAGCCACGTTATGTTGTGATGTTTTTTTTGGGGGGCCAATAGATTTTGCCATCCAAAGTGTGGAGTGAAAGTTGTTGGCTACCATGATATACCATGATAAATAGTAAGCCATCCAAAGTGTGGAGTTTATCAAGTTGGCTACCATGTTGGCTACCATGATATACCATGATATACCATGATATATCATGATAAATAGTAAGCCATCCAAAGTGTGGAGTTTATCAAGTTGGCTACCATGTTGGCTACCATGATATAGCATGATATACCATGATATATCATGATAAATAGTAAGCCATCCAAAGTGTGGAGTTTATCAAGTTGGCTACCATGTTGGCTACCATGATATAGCATGATATACCATGATATATCATGATAAATAGTAAGCCATCCAAAGTGTGGAGTTTATCAAGTTGGCTACCATGTTGGCTACCATGATATACCATGATATATCATGATAAATAGTAAGCCATCCAAAGTGTGGAGTTTATCAAGTTGGCTACCATGTTGGCTACCATGATGATATACCATGATAAATAGTAAGCCATCCAAAGTGTGGAGTTTATCAAGTTGGCTACCATGTTGGCTACCATGATATACCATGATATACCATGATATATCATGATAAATAGTAAGCCATCCAAAGTGTGGAGTTTATCAAGTTGGCTACCATGTTGGCTACCATGATATAGCATGATATACCATGATATATCATGATAAATAGTAAGCCATCCAAAGTGTGGAGTTTATCAAGTTGGCTACCATGTTGGCTACCATGATATAGCATGATTCACTCAATCCTGAGATATCCTGATTCAAGTGTGAAGTGTAGCGTCCACAAATCTGCGGGATATGGCAGTTCATGGCAGTTCATGGTAGTTCTAAGGAACTTTCCTGTTGCAGAAACTCCGAGAAAAAGCATGTCGTGTGTAGCTTGTCAACGTGGTAGGGATGACTTCGGCAAGCTACCAATCCTTCGCACGTAGCTGTACTGCTTTGAGCTTTGGCACCAAAAGCAGCTAGAGCATTTGGAGGGATTTTGAGGTAAATATGGATTCCCCATATTCATCAAAAACCAGTTGATTTGTCGCAAATTTATGTAAATTGGCACGCTCACAATGACCGTGGACGTACAGTGGCACTGTGCCACGACTCTCCATACTCGAAATCCTTCACATTTACCTCCCTTTCAAGTGTTATTTCCAATCCAAACAAATAATCACAATTCCAATTGGCTCATATTTTGGGATGGGATTGAAACCACCAACCAGCCAAGCTCATTTCCATTATCGTAGATATTCTTGACATATGTTTGTTCAGAAAATCCAACACTTGGCTGCAGCGGGGCCATGGCAGCCACGGAAGTCTCTGGCGATGCAGCGCTGAAACTCTTGAAAGAGCCCGAGGTACGACGACGCTGAGACGCTGGTTGGTTGGTTCCAATATGGGGGTTTCTTAAAATGGGAGATCCCCAAAACGTCCCAAGTCACCATAGGTTTCAATACTTGAATGGTCTAATCTCGGATGATTTGAGGGTAGGAACCAGCCCATATTTTTCATTGTCCATCCATACCTGGGATGATCCTCAATTGACGCATTTATTTTGGGGGATGAAACCTCTCAGCTGGTGGTAGGGTTTTCAAGTCCCGTGACTAAAAGGCGTGGCACCTTTTCTCAGCTAGAGACCAGAGTGTTGCTGTTTCAGTGGAAGAAACTTGTTGGGCCAAAGAGGAAGGGGAAACCGCAAAATATCAGAAGCGGTTCACCCAAGGTACCCAAAGAATCACTAGGTAGGGATACATGAATCTGGCAATGGCGCAGTTTTCTATCGACTTGGCTCGAAAGGTGAAATGTTTCTCGAAAGGGTCTATGACTATGATTCAATGATGGTGGTGCAAGTGCAAATGACCCAGCAACTGACATGCGGGCCTCAGGTGAATAAAAGGGTGCCAAAAACAACAGAGCTGGCACCATGGTCTCTCCACTGGTTTGGAATCACTGATTCTGCCTGTTGTCTGTTGCTACCTCCAACTGTCAAAAGAAATCACAGAACAGCGGCTGGAAATCGGATGGCAGATGGAACCTGCCGGTGCTAGGTTGAGGTGCTCTCCAACTTGCAGGTCCTCAAAGTCTTCAATGCAGGACTGGAAGGATGAAGGCAGATCAATCCGAAAAGAGGCCGCAGATCAAAGCCATGGTGAACATGGTGAACAACAAGTGGCACATCGTGAGAGATGACAGAATTCAATCACATTAAATCCAGATGGGGGAATTCATGAGATTCATCTCCCCCAAGTTTCAGGCTTTCAGTTTTGATCCGCTTTTCGACCCAACTCCTTCTGCTTGTTGCTGCAGGACTGAAGGAGCTGCCGACATCTTTATGGAACTGCCGGCAACTGCGGCAGTTGGATGTGGGAGGCAATCCCCTGCCCCCTGGCCAGAATATGACGAATATGAGCAACGAAAAGCACTGGTTACGCCAATGTAAGATGTTGCCCAGTTTGATAAACGCCGGTTTCAGCTCATGTCCTAGAAAAATTACTGTGTGGTCTTGGAATGCCATGCCAGATCATGTGATGTAATGCACTGTTTGCATGTGTCACTAGTATATATAAATGTATAGACATACACATAGTATTTCGTATGTTTGCAGCTATGTCATCCCAGTTACCCAGCTCAAACAACAAATTCGGACATCAAACCGCTGACCTGCTGGATGCCACGGGTTCGGAAAGGTTTTTCAGTCGTTGTTCCGCATCCCAGGGGCGAGAGCTTCCCTGGGGCTGCTGTGGCTGCACATTTGCAGCAGCTGGAGATCTTGTTTGCCTCCAAAATTGGAATGAAGGATTTGCCAAATCTTTCTGAATGCCAAAAGCTTCGGATGGTAGGCTTGGGCGCTGTTGTATGCTTGCCGGGCCAGGAAATTCTTGGGATGGTACGGTGAAGCATTCTTTCTAGCTCGTCTTGTGTCGATGGCAGCTTTCCTGTTCTGATTCCATGCTCTTTACATTAAGTGTATTTGTGCACCTTTCAAAACACCAGCTGTGCGATTCCACATTCCACTATGACTGGGGAGATCAATGATTGTCAATGTTGTGTGCTGGATGTAATGTAGGTCTCTAAACTGTTTCGACCTGGGGGATTCTGTAGGGGTTTCCGATCCCACGGTGCGCAGCCATTTCTCCAGGCATCAAGGACAACCAGCTGACTGTTTTGGATGGCAAATTGTTACCGGAGACAACCGAGTGGCTGATTGCAGCGGGGAATCAGATCAGCATCTAGGCCATCATTGAGACTCCGGTGGCTTGGGGTACCAGATGTATCCCAGATGTCCAATTACGAGCCACATTGTACTCAAAGATTGCGCTCTATCATAGCTGCCTGAGTAATTTGTTCCTTCTCCAATACTTTTGTTTAGATCTTTATCAAACCCAGATCTCCCAATTTGGTCCAAACTTGACCTGCCCAAAGTTGCTCCGGGGTGTTCAAAGGTGCTGTCTGGACCGTTTATTTTGAGGTTCGTTGCCAAACATTGGGCGACTGAAGAAGGCTCGGTGACCCAGTGTTGGTGCTGATCTCACCTGAATCTTGTCGTTGACAAGAATTAGATCAAACTCCGTTACAGGATTCTGAACATCAGCTTAGTGGCTTAGTAGTTCTATGTTGTTCTTAATCTATGGTTATTTGATGTTATTAGTAGTTGCTTCATTCCCCCAAACGCCATGTTGGTTGATGTTCTCCAGGAATCTGGAGTTTAATGGGAATGAAAACTGCATAACCCCCACTTACCGGGCATTTTTGCAGGTTAAGATCCCATTCTTTCCCTTGGTTGACATTCCTATATTTCTGGACCAACTCCTCATGTTTTGCTGCTTCACATCATCCTGATTGAGATCCTCATTTTTTTGCCATACGACCATCACTCTGTATGGTATGTCATCATCCAGCTCTGGTTGGTTGATCCATACTGGTATCTGCATTATATATATAATTATATATATAATATATTTGTTATATCAATCCCAATGATTTCCTAGTCAAAGGAAATTTAGTTAAGAAACTTCCGAGTTACGGGCGATTGTCATGCTTAGCATTCCCACCGTGTCAATCACATCATCATGGCAACCGCTCATTATCAAGTAGTTAGGAAGTGTAACAGGTCGGAAGCGTGTGAATTCACGGGTGAAAAGACTCTCGGGCGCGAAACCCTGTTTTTTTTCGGGTGGGGTCGCCGAAGTAGGGTCTCTGTTTCCGCGGGTTCGGGGCTCGATCTGGCAAAGTTGTCGACAAAAAGTGCACAGGACTCGATTTGCACCTCAAAATCGCAAAAAACTGTCATGTTCGGAGTACTCTTGGAAGATGAGATCGGCCAAATGTGCACCAGATTCTAGTTAGAGTTCGATTTGCATTTCAAAATGCAAAAACCTGGTGGGATCGGAGCACTTTTGGGAGATGAAGTTGGTAAAATGTGCACTAGACTGTAGCGAGGGTTTGGTTTGCACTTCAATGTTCTTGCTTTGCACTTTGAAATCGCAAAAAACGACGGGGATCGGAGCACTTTTTGCGAAATGAGGTTGGCAAAATTCATTGATTCATTGGTTCATTTGGTTGCTTGGTTCATTGATACAATGATTCATAGATTCCTTGACTGATTCGCTCAATGATTCGTTGATTCACTGATTCATTGATTCATTGACTAATTGACTCACTGAATCGTTGAACCATGTCATCGGCTGACTCACCGAATCATTGAACCATTGACCATTGACTCATTGATTCATTGATTCTGTGGCTCGCTCGTTCATTGATTCATTGATTCATTGATTCATTGATTCAATGAGTCATTGATTTGATTTGATGCACTGGTTCATTGAACCATTGAACCTCGAATCATTTACCCCAGGTTCCTTGATTCAGTGATCTACTGACTCATTGGTTCACAGGTTAGTTGACTCACTGATTCATTCATTCATTGAGTCGTTGAACCATTGGTTCACTGATTCGTTGGTTTGTTGTTTCATTGATTTATTGAACTGTTAAACCATTGGCTCATTGGTTCATTGATTCTGGGACGAGCTGAGTCATTGATTTGTTGATTCATGGACCCACTGATTCGTTGAATCCTTTATGTTCATTCCGTGATTTGTGCATGGATTCTTTCATTCGTTGGCATCTCAACAACCACTTGCTCATTCGTTGATGCACCTCACAACTTCAACACTTCAGCTTTTGCATCGCAAAACCTTTCCTACCGGCCATTGATTTCCTATAACCGTTTCATTTTTTCGAAACTTCCGCCAGGCACGGGCCGGGCATTACAGTATCTGGTAGCATATGAATACATATGATTATATATGAATATATCAATATCCCCATCATATTTCCATCACTACCTTTTTGAGGTGCGTAAGTTGATGTTGAGTCACAACCAGCTGACCACGGCCACCTTGGCGCCGGTCGCGGAGATCGAGGGCTTGGAGATGATCCGAGTCGCGGCCAACCGCCTGGAGGATGGTGGCCGGGGTGCAGGGGGTGGGAACCTGAAATGGTGCAGACATGGGGTGGGAAGATGTTGGTTAGTTACTTGAATTTGGGGATTATTTAGACAATTATGACTCCACTTTGTGACTTGGGCCGAGTGTTGGGTTCCCCCATCTTTACCAAGTTTCACATGTCGAAAAACATGCACAGGGAATCCCAGAAATTCATAAAGAATCTGGCAAGTATTCATTTTATGCCCTTGATGTGGACGAAACGTTATTCTTGGAGGAATTTCCCTGTCGCAGAACAACCCAGGTTGTAAGGACGGCTCTACTAGCTCAATGAAACGGCTTTGCTCAGGGAAGACACGACACAGCATTTGTATTTCTTTTTGAAACGTGGTACAAAAGATAGGATGGATTCCCTGAGCATACAAATACAGCGGATCATACTTCTTGCATCTTATTGCAAGACTAAGAAATATCTTCCTTTTGTATAGTACCCTGTGGACACTTGCATGAATTACTATACCAAGAATCAGAGCTGCAATCCACTTTATCCAGGCCAACAACCCCATTGGTGGAGCCAGGCCTTTCCGGAGCCCTTGTTGACACACAAGCGCCTTGCCTGGGTGGCGCTGGGTGCAAACCCCATGGCGGAAGAAGCTTTGACAAGGCAGGGACGGGGGAACACATCAGCCATTGCCTCTTAACTCTTCTTGGAAGTTACTATAAATGTTTCAACTTCGCCGGTGAAAGGGGAGGGCGGCAAGCAGTTGTTCTTTTGCCTTCAGCCCAGCAACAAGGCACCTCGCAGCTGGTTTTCGGAGTCTGGACTTCAAGGAGGTTCAGATGGGAGAGAAGTTAGGGAGCGGTGCTGGAGCCACTGTCTACCAGGGCCAATGGCAGGGCAGGACTGAGGGTGGGCAGCAGAAGGTGGCTCAGAAAAATCGGAAACTTTGTGAAGCATCTTAGCCATGTTTGATAGAGTTCTGAGTGGAAAATGAAGATTGAAATCCACAGGATATGAGAAATATGACATAACCCTGTGACAAATATTGTGTTAAAGGAAACTTTTAATCTCAATTTTCCGAGTAAAATGGGAAAAAACAATTTGGTGGAAAAACAGGGGTACAAGTACAAGATATATTTTTGGCACCAAGAATTCTTTCCCATCGGCCTACCATGTCCCACCAGGACGGTGGCCGTGAAGCTCTTCGACGCCGAGACGTTTTCAGACGGCACAGCGCTCTCCGAATGGGCCGCCAACCGCGTGGCCTCGCAGCCGGGCCACCCGGCGCTGGTGCAGGTGCTGGGAACTTTTGAGGCTGGGGGAACCAAGGGAACCAAGGGATCAGGCGGGGAAATGATTTTTTTTGGTTGTAATAAGCCCCAAAAGTTCCAAATGATTTTTTTGTTGTAGTAAGCCCCAAAATTGGGGAACCAGAAATCTTGGTTTCGTTTTTTTTTTGTTGTAAGCCCCAAGCAAGGAACCACCCCCAATGACTGACCAGAAATGTGTGGGGTTCATACCGCCCAGTCCTGTGTGGCATTGGGATAGTTCCATTTCCGAGAAATCTTGTTGATCCGTGCAGGGTACCATCAGACACGTGACCAGCGTCAGGTGATGGTCACACCATTCATTGGTCCCTTTTCAGGATCCCCGTGGCATGGTCCTGGAGCTTCTTCAGAACGCCAAGGCTGCGGCGAGTCCTCCCAGCTTCGCCACGGTGACGCGTGATGCCCTGCCGTGCCACGGGGCGCCCGGCGTGCTCTACGCGCCGAAGGCGGCGCGGCAGATCGCGGCGCAAGTCAGTGCGGCGGCGGAATATTTGCACAGCAAAGGTCTGATGCATGGAGACACCTGGGAATGATTATGGAGTTGTTTCATGTCTTGTGTATATATATATATTATATATATCTGTGTGTGTGTGTCTGTGTAACATCTGTAGAGATGTAAAACTTTTTGTTCGGTCAATGACATATCATATCAGATCATTTATATATATATATAATATTTTTGTGTGCCCGGGCAAGCCTGGGGCGGAATCAAAACTGAAAGCCTAGAGAGCAAAAAACAGAGTGTGCCTATAGGATGCGGGCAAGCGCCCCGTGCGTTACAGAAACAATCTCTTGACCCCTCAGTTCTCATGTCATGTGATCTCATCTGATGTCGTGTCAGCCCTTCTCACCTCACCTCATCTTATCTCATCTCACCTCATCTGATCCAATCTCATCTCATCTGATCTGACGTCCTTTCAATCTTTTGTCCGTTCATCTCATCTCATCTGATCTCATCTCATCCCATCCCATCTCATGCTTCTCTCCTCTTCTGGGATCTTCTCAGCTCTTCTCGGCTGATCGCAGCTGTTTCATCTCTTCGTTTCATCTCTTCTCAAATCTTCTCAACTGTGGTCATCTCTTCTCATCCCATCTCAGCTTTTCTGATCTCTTGTCAGCGCATCTAAACTCTTCTTTCAGCTCATCTCATCTCATCTCATCTCTTGTCATCTCTTCTGTTCTCTTTTTTTCCTCAGAACATCTCTTGTCATCTCTTCTGGTCGCCACAGCTCTTCAAATCTCATCCCTTGTCTCTACGACGTGTTGCGCTTCCCGTTGAAGTGCTGCTGGAGTTTCTTCACAGTGCAAGGGTTTTGTGTGCTACGAAGTCCACAACGACAGGCTCGTGTGCTGCACGGCCCGCAACGACACACGCAGTGACTCATTTATCGGCTGCCATTCCTTCATTCCTGTATTGGTGCATTCCGTCATTCCGTCATTCCATCATTCAATGATTCCAATGATTCCTTCATTCCTTCCTTCGTTCATTCACGCATGGATTCATGCATTCACGCATTCACGCGTTTATCCCGTCATCAAGTCATGCAGTCACCCAGTCATGCAGCCATCCAGTCATTCAGTCATGCAGTCATGATGCATCCAAGTCATGCATTCATGCATTCATGCATTCATGCATTGACCCACGTGTTTATGCATTCACTCATGCTTTCATGCGTTCATGCGTTCATGCATTCACTCATGCACTCATGCATTCATTCGTGCATCCATGGATTTATCCATTCATTTCTTTTTCATCCTTTCGATCAATCAACCATTAAATCAAACAATCAGTCATTCAATCAATCAATCAAACAATCAATCAATCAGTTGTTCATTCACTTACTCATTCGTTTGTTCGTTGGTTGATTTGCTGATTCATGACTCAATCCAGTCACTCAGTCATTCAGTCCATGGTCGCCTCGATGCCATGCACATGCCTTTGATTTCACTTTTTCCTTCAGAGATGGTATATGTATGTATGTTTATTTTTACATGTAAATATTTTGTATCTATTCAAAAAACATATGTATATGTATATATATACACGTATATATATATATGTATATGTATAGATGCAAATATCTTTACATATATATATGTATGTGTTAATAAATGTAAATAATCACGCGTATGTGTATAAACATACATATAAAATATAGACATATGTATACACACATATTTGCATTTACATTTATGAAAAAACATTTTCTCCCTAAAACGTTTTTTCTCCACAAACATTTTTTCTCCACATTTTGCCAACGTTTTTTCTCCACATGTTCTTTTTTGTATCACCCGGTCACCCAGGACATTTACCTCCACAACACCCTGGTGATCCGCGATGCAAATGCCACATCGGCCACCGTCAGCGACGTTCGACTTTCGGATTTTGGTGCCTGTGCCGCCGTGGATGCACCCGAGCTGCGCAGGTCTGGCGGATGGGGATGTCACAAAGGGAAAAATGGGAAAATGGGAGGCGACAATGGAACATCATTCCCACATGTAAGATGGAAAATCATTTAAAATCCCGCAATTTCATTGCGAAAGCAGGAATTCAAAAACCCAACATCGTAGACTTTTAGCGACGAAAATCGAGACGTTGACCAACAACCAAGTGCGTATTTCACTAACAACAATGGGTGCTACAATAGGGACTTTGCCAACAATCACTGCTTAGTGAAATCAATGCGCAACCCAAACCGAACTTTGATACTGGCGCTTGAAATTTCACACACTTCAGGTCTTTGGCTGATTTACTGTTGGTCCTAATTCTGTTAGCATCTTTAGTTGGTATAGAATCCAGTTTTGTTTGGTCAACATCATCATCTTATTTTTGAGTGGGAAAAAGTATACAGATCCAACAGTTCAAACATTCCATCTATTTCCTGGGTTTCCCCCTTTTTGGGCGTGGAGGTTGGAAGTTCGATCCTTTGGATGGCTGTTGCAAGATCTCTTGGAATGTCATGCGGAGCCAGAGACCCCGGAGGACGCCAAGATCCTGGAGTTGATGAAGGCAAGGGATGAACACAGACGTCCAACAAATGGAACAAGTATCGCAATTGAATGTAGTAGGTGTTTTTCATGGTGAGTCGGTTTTACATGTGTCTACTGTTTATTTTTATTTTTAGTCCCTAAAGTTTGGAAGGGACCTGCACTGTCTCGACCCAGGAGTTGCGTGCCAGTTGTGGTGCTGAGGATCCCAATGAGCTGCCAAGTTTCAAAGAACTGCGGGAGAAATTGGCTTGAGACACCAAGCACAAGCCTTGGGATTGTTATGGATTGTTTATAGGTCAGCTGGCCTTTTTCATAGGCCCTGCTACGCCCACTGCTAGTGATCGCTTTGAAAAGCGACATTTTCCAAGACATGGGAGTGCAGGACGATGCTCGGACCGCTTCTCTGTGGTGAGGTTGATGAACATTTTTGTAGAATCTTGCTCAAAGATAGCAGGTGGAGATCCTGCTGCCAACAGGCAGATGCTTCAGGTTTTCAAAGTGTCCTCACACTTATCCATTCATATCCCACACACCTTCAACAATTAGATACGCAACACAGAAAGAAAAGCAGCCGCCCTTTGAGGATGGCCACTACCATTCAGCCCACTTGTGAGTTCCATGTCGGCTTCAATTTCTTACAAACCTCAACTTCAAAAAGATTCTTCACATGTCTGTGGCTCCGTAAACAATCCCAAACAGTCACTTGAAACTTGATTCTTGCACTTTTTGGGCCCCCCAAGATATCTTCGGATGGCGGATGCCAAGCTGGATGGCTGGCTCAACAAGGTGGAGGAAGCGGTCCTTTCCCACCAGACCGCCCGCCTGCAGCGCTGGGCGGAGCGCCAGCGGCAGGCGCTGCAGCGTGCGGTGAAGGTGGAGCAGGCGGTGTGTGCCAACAACAGCTCCATCACTGATGGCGTCATTACAGGTGGGGGGTCCAACGTGTTCTCGATGAAGCACAGTTTTTTTCCCCCGCGTGTTTTTTTGCTTCTAAACTTGAAAAACAAATAAAAACAATACTAATTATATAGTTACAGTTGACTGCTAAAGTCGTGCCGAAAATTTGGAAATCATCGTAAATAGCTGGGGAGCACTTGATTTGAAAAGTCATGCCTTTCTAGTAAAACGCATAGGAATTGTAATGTTTTGTTGGATTTGGTCTTTGGAATAGTTTGCTACGTCGTTTGGACGTCGTTCGGCACGTCGTTTTTTTCCTGTACATATTCTTCAATATGATTCTACCAGTAGTACCGCACAAGGCGGTGGCGGAAGGTTGTTGTGAATCACGGATGGCAGAGCGAAGCCACTGATGGACCGAAAGGTGGTTGATGTCTCCTCTCTTTCTCTCTCTTTCTCTCTCTTTCTCTCTCTTTCTCTCTCTTTCTCTCTCTTTCTCTCTCTTTCTCAACCGGAGCAGCAAAGCGAAAAGAGTCAGCGGACCGAAGCGGCAAGTATTTCACAACCCCGGAAACATGAACGGTAGAGTGCAACTGTAGACGGATTTTTGCGAACATTTGATTTTCCCAAGTGTGGAAACATTCTTCTTATACATACGCGATTCCATGGTGATTTCAGATTTGGGCATGACTTAGGCATGAGTTTCTTGAAACAGCGATTCCATGGTGATCTACTAGCAAGTTTTGACCCAGGCATGAGTTAGGCATGAGTTTGTTGTTTGACTGTACTAGCTCGTGGCAAAAATCGTGTATTTGTTCGAAGAACCTGCATTTTCCAGAGTTTTGTTTGACCCATGGCAAGGTGTTCAAGATGAGCTGCAGCAACGCGATGCGGAGCGGCAACGGATGCGGCAGCACACCAAGGACGTGAAGGACGAATGCGACCAACACTTTCAGCGGGAGCTGCGACGTATGCGACGGGGGCAGAAAACCATGGCCAAAGAGCTGTTGGAAAAGCAGTCCATGCGGTTGGCGGATGCCTATGAAAGCTGGTGGATGGTTTCAGTAACATTTTGAATTTCAATCAACAATCCAACACTGCGAGGAACATAACCCAATTTCACATTCTTAATGTTTAATATTTGAGAATCTCAAGAATCTTCCCATGAAGTGGCTTAGGGTGGCTCAACTGCCCAGGACGAGATCATTTCCTTAAAGTGGCAGAGCTTGGAGGACGTTTTCCAAAGGAAACTGTGGGAGTACTACACTGAAGCCCATCGTCGTGGTTATGGTCGGAGTGCTGCCTCCACCCCGGAGGATCTGCGCGAGGTCTGGCAAAATGGCGAGCTGAAAAGCCTGTTGGCCGTGGAAAAGCAAGGCTGGGGAAGATCCCAACGTGCGGATTTGCAGCACGTGGAGAACGAGCTGGATGGAAGTCTGGGCAAAAGTATTGAAGCTTTAGAGGCGAAGCTGACAACTGTAGCAGATTTGGAACCAGAATGTCTACAGCAGATCCGCTCCATGGCCGAAGATGCCAAGAAGGAATTAGAGAAAATCACAGCCGAGATTGGCGGTAGCCTGCCGGAATTGGAAGCTGCCTGGAAGGCCTGTGAAACTGACTACGAGCGAAAGGAATCCGAACTTCAACAGCTTCAGGCGGCCGTTGCTCGAAAGCGTTTCGAGGACATGGAGACGTTCCGGCTGCTGAAGTTGCAGCTGTGCCAATGGAAGCTCAGCTATCAGAGCGCCTTCCATGACACCGACGAGCCTTCCACCAGTTCTCTTGATCCAAAACAAGTGGAGCAGCGATTTGCCAACGCCCGGCGCTTGGCGCAGAAGCTCTGGGCCCAGATGCCGGTGAACGAAGCGCATCGCTTTCTGGCGCAGGTGGCGCAGATGTTGGCCAAGTCCGAACCCTCCGCTGCCACCACTTTGATGAAAGTCTATGAGAAGGAGCAATGACTGGGAATTAATGCTTGTTTTTTTCCCCCCTTCAGATAACGTGAGACAACCAACTGCGGATGTGAAGCGAGCGAACATGGAACAAGAATGATCAAGATGAATCCTAGACGTGCAATTTCCATCAATTTCCTGCGACCCCTGGAACCAATGGTTCCGATATCTTCCGATGGTTTCTCTGAAATTTTGTGTTTTGATCGCCACCTGGAAGGAGCTGAAGCGTTTGGGTGCCTTGCCGCTGGTCTCCCATGCTCGATCTCCTGAACTCCTGCAGTGCTGGACAGCTCCGTGATGGCTTGGAGCTGAAGATGGCTTTGAACAGGGTACCCATAATCCAGTGGTGTTATCATCATTTTCCCATTAAAATTGCCGCTCTGGGGTGTTTACCCCATGTGTAGATGAGATCCACAATGTCCTCAAAAGGGCAGAGGCTCTCTGACAATGGTCGAGCAACTGTCCACCACAAGGACAAGACGTCTCTGTGGGTTCAACCTTGCAGTTGCTGGAAAAGAGAGATGAATGAGGACGCCATGGTCAGGATATTTTGCAAGAGCATTTATCAGGGAACCTCAACCATGGCAACGTCAACAGAACACCACTCTTCCCAACCCATTCCGAGTTCCATGTGAACATGGCTTCGGCGTAAGCTTCACCCAGCTTACTTGGAGGACTTCCAACTCTGGTTCTACCTACTTATTAAGTGGAGCGACTCCCGTGCCGTGTCTGAGGTGTCCAGTGGTGGCGCCCATCACCCCAAGCTCCTCAGCATCGTTTGGGGCCTTGGAGACCCTGGGTGAGAAGATGGTCCAACCGGCTGTGGCCTAGGCGCGGTCCCTTGTGGAAATCAGTGGCCGAAGACTTGTGCCGGCAAGCCTCAGGATTTTTCCATCACTGGACGGAGTTTCTTGTGGTTTCCTTCTGAACCCAGAAGTGTGGCCCTCACGGTTTCTTCAGAAATGGATACTGTAGACACTGTAGACATGGTTTGTTTCAGCTTGAGACGTTTTTTGATCGCTTTTTGACCAACTCTCTGATCAAGGCTTGACCGACAAAGCCTCGGTCGGTGCAGTGCTTTTACTCCGTCGTCGGGGATCCAAGAACCGCTTAGCCGCTTTGGATCCATTTGTGGACCACGGTCTGAGTCAATCCGAGCACTAAACACTTGGGGCCATACTTGTAATACTTGTACCAGATTGTGAACATTGAAGGGAACACATCAGTGTGGCCCCGGACGACAGATCAGGTACATCCTTGTTTGCTGCTATCTTACTGAGTCATTCTGTTGTCAGTACGCCACTCAACCACCCCCAAGGTTCCAATGTTTCGACGACACAGACTGAAGCATAAACAGAAATGACTCTCAACTCTCAACCTTATTTTGGGTTTACAATAAGTTTACAACATAAAGGTTATATGAATCACATCTCTATTGCTGTGGTTTTGTGAAGCTCCCTGGCGCGCCAGGCTTGACATTGGTCTGTAGTGATTTGGCCCATGTGGCGGCTGCCAACAAGGCCTCGGCGCTGAGGCACTCGGGGATGAGGTAGGTGGGGGGGTCAAAATTGTTTGATCAATGGTGCTTCCCAGTGGCTGATTAGTGGTTTGAGCTGTAAAACCAACCATCATGGGGATATATGGGGATATTGGATGGGATATCATGGGACATATATGATCAGCAAGATGATAGTTGGCCCCAACATGGCAGAAAACATGATTCCAATGATGATCAGCCCATCAAATTTGGGAGTACTCAATTTTGAGACAAAACCAAATGGTTGGTAAATAGTTGGAAACTTAGGATCAAATAAGAAAGGCGATTTTTCAAAAACTTGGAGATCAGCTTATGGATGCTTATGGTCAGTTTTGGTGGGCGAAACCACTGGGCGGAGCATCCTGCACTTATTTTGCTTAGTTGAGGCGTTCTTTGAAGCTGGCTGCTCCTAAATGTACACCAACATGATCTACCTCTATAAATATAGGCTATATAATGATATATATAATGATGTTTGATGACGATCTTTAATGCGTTTTATGATCCTTTTAGTAGAGAAGTCACATCTAATAGAGGTCCCAAATTTGACCGGGACGCCCTTTTCGTGACGCAGCCAAAGGGTCTGAAAATCAGGGATGCTACTCTGACTCCACAAGGGCTTCTGGCCGGGGGTTGTCTTCAAATATGTTTTTTTTTCGATCTAGATGGATGATTGCTGGGGAGTTTCTATGAGCCTTTGAAGCGGCGATGCAGTCCAGGGTCCACTGAAATACTTTGCAAAAAATGCTTGACGAAGTTTGATCAGACACCTTTGGAGGCCGGCCTACCACCTGGTGGCTTTGCGGCCCACCAACGACGAAGCCTTCCGGGCCGCTTGTGAGAAGGCGCTATACATGTAGAGACCCAGGACGGGGAAAGTATGTATCATTTTCCAAAGTGACATATGGTAATTTTGGGATGTGCCCTAATTTCGGGACGAAGCGACATGCAACATTTTCATATATTTTAATCAGGTTTACGAGCTGGCAGAGTATGAAAAACAACACCTCAAAGAAAAGCTTTCAAACCCATGGGTCTAAGTCTGGAAGGTGCATTTATGGAGCAAGACCCTTATAGGTGCACCGATGTGTGTGTACATGCGTAGTATCTATTGTATGATATATACTATCCATATCGTAGCCACCACACAGAGCCGGGCAGTCTGCTGAATCCCACTAGCACGGGTTCCAGCCAGGGAATGTGTGACATCATCTCTTTGCAGTTGGACGACAAACTCTCGTTCAGCCTGCGTGGAAAGGAGCCACGCATGTTTTGAGGGCCTTGTTCACAACAGGTTGCAAGTTGGTCATTGGATGTCGTTGGTGCCAACGCCAGGACATCACTGCCTTCACGAGAGACTTGGATGCACTGTGTGTGGTATTTCAAGCCTCTGGAGGATTGGTATGTGTCAAGCTTAAGACCAAGGTGGAATTTTCAGTCATTTTCTGCTAGCAAACCTGAGGCCGAGGAGGCTGTTTTGAGCCCGGCCGCTCAGGGTCAATGTCCTGTTTCAGACGAAATCTGAGGATGAATCATGAAAGCCCACAAATTGTGCTCAAGTCACCTCTTAAGATGTGGGCTTCTACATACAGAATAGACAATGTTAAACGTGAACTTGTGATCGAATGAAGCGTTTAATCCTGCCGTCCAAGTGCTTTGGTGTCAAGATACCTTGGACCCGGTGATGAGCCTGAGGATTGAACTTGGGACAGCCATCCGTGACGCAGGCCAGGCGTCCTTGCAGCGCGATATCTCGCCATTGGAAGGCAATAGGCGAAGATCCAAACCTGCAACCCCTATATCACCATTAGGTTAAGTCCCCCCGCAAAGGCAGGGGCTGGCCATGATGCTGTGGGTTTTCTTCTTGTCACACCTCAGGGTGCAAATGTTTAGGGTGTGAACTTTGAGCCATCCAAATCGTCTCCAAAGATTCGCCTGGACATCTCCCTGCAGGAGGGCGCAAGCAGATGCTGAACAACGTAGAGATCCTGTTGCATGCCACGCGTGGCAGGTGGCCATTGCTGCCTCACGGATTTTCACTCCATCAGCATCTTCAAAGCATCATAGAATCTGGCAAAACCAATGAGCAACCTCAATGTTTGCATGGCTTGTATATGATGTATATGTTTATACCATCCATTTCTGGTGAACATGGGGATGTTTTTTTTAACTCCTTCTGTAGGCACGTCGTCCTAACCAGTGGTGCTCTGGATCCCATAGAGATGAGGTGAGGACGTGCTGTCAAGCAGCGGTTCTATTGATTTGCTGCGCATCTGGCATGGCAAGCAGGAACAGCATAGAGGCATAGAAAGTATCATTGAAGTAAACAATTGTTCCAATTTTAGTCTTTGCAGGGCAAGCCTGGCTGGCAGGTCGCCGCAGGACATGGCAAACTTTGCTGGTGTCATTGGCGTCAAGGGCGGATTTCAATGCGTCTCGGAGGCGCGATGAGGGCAGTGAAATCATTCGGGGAGTTGGGTAGGTTTGGCAGCCTACTACCCATTTTTTCTGCGTTTGTTTCTCAGATTTCCTGAGAAGTGGTTGAAATTTCATGGGATCCCATGGCTGAATCTCCGTCATCTTTCCCCACTTCATCGTTGTTTGGGCGCGGTGTTTTAGGCGCCGTACCGCGCGTTGCAACGCAACCTTTTGCGACGAGGTAGCTGTCAGGCGGCTGGTGAGAATTGGTTGAAGGGAAATCCTTAGGACACATCTATATCTGGGGGTAAAACAACTGTTTTCCTGTAAAATGTTCCCTAACCAAGCCACTGAAAGCCGAAAGACATCAGATTTGGTCAATTTTTGGTGTTACATAACATGTAAAATGCATCCAATTCGTGTTGTGCCCAAGTTTGACTCAGATCACGGAACAACTGCTTGTGATTCCCCAAGTTCGGGACTGGCTGAATCCCTATGTGGGCTGGGTAGCCCGGGCGGATGCGTTGCAGGTCATTCCAGCGGTGGATGAAGAGATGCCACAAGCAGACGAAAAAACCAGTGGCGTTCAACGGAATCTTGTTTGATGCAGGTTTGTTCTTCTGTACAGATATTCAATGCGTCAGGAACAAGGACGCAGGTTCGAGCCCCATGTGTTCAAGGAGGTAGGGTTGCAATCTCATAGTTCACAAAAGCTAGCAGATGAAGTCCCTCTTGCTTTAGCAAGGTGTTGGGAGGGGCTGGAATCGCCGATCACAGGCCAATCAGATAAAATTTCACAGTTGACTTCCCCTGGCTTTTTCACGCAGTTTTGCTGTGGCTCAATGCCCCTGTGGACATAGTCGCCATATCGTCGCCGTCAGCATCAGCAGCATCGTCGTCCTCACATGATCAGCATCATCATACTTACTCGCCACCGTATCTCCCCAAGTGAAGGGACGCTTTCAGCAGGGATAGAGCCAACAAGAAAGTATCGTCAAAAACCAGGATGAACAAACTGCCTAGAACCATGGCGATGCACAATTGAACCATTGCAATCCTACATTTGTCATCTCAGCAACTTGGCCAGTTCAGGCCCAACGAAACATGCATTCAGATACAAGCCCCGGAAGCATTGTTTTTAGCCCCAAGTCGTGGAAACAACACCAAGACTTTCGCTGGACATGTGATGTTTTCCGGTTGAGCAAACCTTGTGGTTAGAAGATGTTGAACAAACAGCATCTGCAAGGGTGACACATTTGATGTCAGCCATGGGGGTGGGAATACCCCACTGCGGACTGGGCCCCGGCGGCCCCGGCGGCCCCGGCCCAGCAAGGCGCCCAATCCAAGTTTGTTGGTCGTTGTCAATAGGGAAACCGGAAGCCAATTGGTTTGGGGTACCATGTTTTTCAGACCCATAAGGCTAAGATGAGGGTGCAAACTTATTCAAGTGCGGTTGGAAATTTCATGACTTGGATTGTTATGTTAATTTCCAAAATATGCCAAAGCTATGAAATCAACTGCCAGGGGCACTTGCGCGTTGACACAGGTGTATAGTTCCTGCACTGTCCTACATGTTTATGATTTTTTTGACCCGTAAAATGCAGATCGGTTGACTTCCTGGTCTGGTTTGTCTGTGGGATCCCAGCGTCAGTGTCAGGTAACTCTTCACCGATGTCCATTGGTTGGACCCGCCATGGTGCGCAGGTCCAGCGTGGGTAAGATGTTGGCCCGATCAGGATGCAATCCGTGCAGATTTGAGAGGAAGAAGAGGCAAAGAGGAAAAACCATAATTTAGAGACACCGGGGAACCCGAGCGATGATTCCAAAGCACCATGCACTTCATATTTGCTCCAATTTTGAATTGGCAAATAATTCAGAGTGAGGGGAGAAACGAGTCGCATCGTGCAGGCTTGGACAGGTGCGGGCAGCAAGCATGGAAAAGCCATGTGGTCATGTCCGAAATTTCTGGGACCCGCAAAGTAAAGTGATGTAAAGTGGGCTCCTATGTTGTCCTCCTCCTAAATGGGACTTTCTAGAAGTACCCGCTGGTTTGTTGGGGGTGCGAAATGTTTCGATTTGACAGGAGATCGGGTTTGTTTTAGCTCCCTGCCCAAGCAACACGTGACACAACTGGCCATCAACAGATTTCCCTCTCCAGTCATGCTGTGTTCTTGATTGAGGACGCTTGAGGATTGTACGCCCAGAATTCTTTTTACAAAGTGCATTTTGCTCAAGTTGAGCCAACCTTCAACAGTTACCAAAGTATGAAATTCACAGGTCGCTGTTTGTTAAGTTATATTGTGAGTTCCATTAATATTGCATGTAATGTAATGTACTTTAATGTAATGTAATGCAATGCAATGTAATAAAATGTAACGTCCAGTCATGGAATGTAGCGTAATGTCATGTTACGTAATGTAACGTAGTGCAAGGCAAGGTAAGGTCAGGTAAGGTAGTGCAACGCTATCTAACGTAATGTTATGTTATTCGGAATATATATTTATCAATTTTTAATATACTAATATATTAATATACTATTTATATATTTTATTTATATGTATGGTATGGTCTGGTATGGTTGCATATATATATACTATATACAGATATATTTGTTGCACATATTGCGGACTGAACGTGCCAGGGCGTGAGGTGTCCTCCAAAGCCTTTATGGATGAGCTGTGCAGCAACGTGGGTGGATATCGCACGTCTGGGGCCATGGGCCAGGTGTAAACTCCTGGGTCCAAAATGGATCAAAATGGGGCAGTTAGCCCTGCAAAAATTTGGTCGGTATCATCATTGTAATGGATGTAATGGATGTAATGGATATAATGGGATCTCAACCAAGTGTATGATATTCAATGGTTTTGTCTGATGGGGGATCTACATGGATCTACCCATCCCCGAATCCATCGCTATGATTGTTGGATTTAATGGTACCCCGTTTTTGGGCACCTACAACTGACGACAGTGATTCTAAAATCAACCTGTTCTTATCGATCTTAGATCCTGTGCTTGTGTCTTGAAAAATGCTATACTATTTTCACTTTTGGACACCTTGCAATTTGCACCAGTGGTGTTTGAAGTGGATGCATTTGTAATTCAGGCGGCATTCTTTGTTGGTGCAATTTGATTTAAGCGTGGTGACATTCTCAAGATGTACAACATGTACTAATTTATGAAACCTTGGACCATTTTTTTTTCATTTCTTTCCGTTTCTCTGTGATTCCCAAGTGCTAAAATTTCCTTTAAAGAGGATCTCATGCCCATCCAACTGAGATTTCTGCGTCGGCTGGCTTTGCATTACTTCGGTTGGTGGGTGGCCATTGCAGTGGTCCCTGCCGTCTTTCTGGATCACCACAGGCCGAGTCTGCAGCTGGTTATAGCTGGTTATCCAATTCTCAGCACCATCAAGGTTTGGCTGAACCGCAGAACTGAAAGTCTCCAGCACTAAGCAAAAACTCACCTGTTTCGCAGGTGTGAATCCAGTATGCCCTACATAGCTTGGTGTTTGTGGGGACCCCAGGGACCCCAGGGAGCAGTTGGGTCGACGGTTTCGCAGCAAGGAGCTAAATTTTCAGACAAATTGTTATATAATCCCATTCGATCTATTCATCTATTCCTAAGCCAACCACTGAGATTTTACCTACCAAAGCACATAAGAGTGCCATGGTCAAAACTTGCGAAACTTGTCCATGAGGGATGGTCCATGAGTCCATAATTTGACCATGGCACATTTGGGTTTGTCTGAAAATTGGTAGTACCACCCAATTCCAGCGGATTGTTAGTATATATTATATTAGTATAATTTAATATAATTGATAAGGATTCCCAATAAAATTATGTCATTTGTAGGGTTAATCCTCCATTTTCAGAGAAGCCACATTTGGATCCTGCCTGCCAAAAGAGGGTCCGTTGTGCCCTTAGGTATGGAGGGACAGTGCTGGCAATGCTGGTCATGGCGGTGCTGGTGGAGTTATCCATGGTGCAGCGCTTGGGACTTCTACAGGGTTCTGAGCTTCACATTCTCAAGGAGAAGCCGGGGGAGGGCCGTTGGTTCAAGCTACTGAAGTTCCTCTGATGTGGCCCATGCCAATACGTCATTTTTGTATATTTTTGTGGATGATATTTGGGGATGGGTCAAAACCCTGGTACCTAGTGAACATCAAAATAGCTGGTAAATGGATGTTCATCCCACTAAAAATGTATCTATAGGTATTGACCCATACCCATTTTTTGGATGGTAAATCACGCAGTGGGGCAAGCAGAAAACGTTGATGGGTTGATAAGGCACATGAGAGGAGGCACAGTTGACACAATAGCATGATAGTGAGAGGATGCAAGCTTTGGCAAGACTTCCAGTTGTTTGATGGCAAAGGTTCTAAGTGATTGATCTTCACCCATTCATGACACTGCAAGGCAGACAGCTGGTTTTGATGTCCCGGCATTTTCGGCTTTAGAGGTCCTTTTGCCGCTGGTCGCAACCAGTCAGTCCCTACAGGCCCTGACTTCTGAATGAAGTGCATCTTGCCATTGATCATTTACCCAGTGTTGGGCAGGGATGAATTCCTCAGTCGCAAGACTGACATCAGTGCCCGCGTGCTGCAACAAGGGTGGGCTGACAGTTCTCAGCAACAGATGTTGTTGAGATATGCATCAGACTGTTTCAGCTGGAACCCGGTGGATACCAGCACTGGCGTGGGAGGTTTGCAGGGCTCCCTTGGAGATGCCACAAGCTGTGTGTTGATCAACCTGGAGCAGCGTTGGGGTTGGAAGCCAGACCTTGTCGGCTCTGGTTCAAACAATGGTGGTCCCTACGATGGCTATGGGGCGGGCACAACTATCATCGGAGTTGACACGCCTTCTGGCAAGTGGCAGTTCATCCTGAAGAAGACTGCCAGCGATGGCAGCAATGGTACCCCCTCTCAGGAGGGAGGATCCGAAAGCGTCATTGTGCACAGCTTGCACCGCGGGGATGCTACATCAGAACAGGAGACTGACCTCATCCACTTCACAGAGACATGTTTCGAAAAGCACCACATCGACATCTCCAATGTGGGTAGTCTTGACCTATCACTGGACACTGCCATCAGTTGTGTGCTGCAAAACTGTGAAAAGAAGTGGGGTTGGAAGCCCGAGCTTTCTGTATTTGGATCTGACACAGGAGGGCCCTACGATGCACATGGCATTGGTGCGACGGTTATTGGCGCCAAAACAAATACAGGGAAGTGGGACTTCGTCCTGCATCTCAAGTCTTGAAAGTGAAGCTCATGTTACAATCTTTGCCTCATGTGACTCATGTACCTCTAGGAAGCCAAATACTTTTGACCAACTTTTGACGTGCCAACCGAGCACATTTTGCCGAAGGATGGAACCGAATTAAATCACTTTGCTTGCGATCCTTGGCGAATCGCCTGGGGTCGAAGCTGACCACTGGGTTTTTTCGGCGTTGTTAGATCCCTTAGTTGCCTTAGCCCATGACAAATATCTGGCAGTGCCATTTTCATTCTACCAGAGTTTGTTGGAGTCACAAGCCAATCCAGTTGTTGGCCTCTGATTTCCGGTGAATCTCTGCAGAGATGACCCACCGGGTTGACGATCCGTCCTACCGCGCCACAGGAACGACGGTGGCGAAGACCCTTGGCCTCGACGGTTCTGTGGAAGGTGTGGCTGGGAAACTCCTGATTTCAAGAGGACAATTTGCCAATGGAAATGGATATGAAATAGATATGAAGGGATAACGGATAACGGGGCCTTCCTGTTGCCGTTCTTTTTTATTGGAGGGTAATTAATTGGATGCCGCGTGACTGGACCTGGAATCTTGACCCATAGGCACATGGGAAAGCGGAGGCGATGGGCAATGACCTTACAGAAGTCAAGGATAAAACGACTTCATAAGCTATCTACGCAGAGGTACATAAACATAAAACCTTGCATTAACAGTGAAAACAAAACATAACCACGGACACAAAGCAAAACAGACACGTGGCACGTGTAAACAAATACACAGTTTCAGAGATAAGATCTTCGATGTCCCTCTGACATAAGTAGTGCATAAGTAAACCGGGTATGCGGTCATGTGTAGATGTTTAATACGATGCCTTGTTTACAGAGAGCGTGGTTTCATGTCTGGATGAGAAAAAATCGTTTGTGTGGATTGTTTCGGCTGGTGGAGTCACAACTTCACTCCTCTAGCTTGTTTCCTGTTTGAGTCACATTAATTACAGTGCAAAAACTGTTCACCTCTTGTTTTTTTCCAGTCGGTTTACTTGTTTGCAGTCCTGCGCAGGAAAATAGGGAGGGAGCTCTAGCCCGAAGACCCACATATATCACGCATTAATCACAAGTGAACCATAGGCAAAACGCACGTTTCGACAAGTACAACCTGAAACCGAGCATGAATGCATTCCATGCAAGTTATGACTACAAACAGGAGGTACAGTAGGGGGCAACAACCACGACTTGGTGATGTCAAAACATATTGACAGAGACTGTGCAGCTGCTACACCCATGATCCGCACAGCTCTTGTTGTCTTGCACATGTGCTGTGCTCATATGTTTTACATGTGTTTTGCTTGTATTCCACACACACATATATATGTGTTGCCTTACGTGCGACCTATGTTTGACTTCTGCTTTCCGTCTGTTTCGCTTATGTTTTGATTGCGTTTCATTCATGTTTTGGTTTTATTTCACCTATGTTTTTTCTTATGTTTTATTTGCGTTTCACGAATGCCATACGGATGAGTCACATATGTTTTGCTTATGTTTCGCGTGTTTTGCTTGTGTTGTACATACGTTTTTACTTTCGCGTCATGGCCCGTTGGCTTAAGATATTGGTTACCAATGATTGGACCTATGCTGTACATGTCCCAAAAGTACAAGAGTCCATATACTCCGAAAATGGGTTTGGAACAGCTGGAACAGCCAGGTTTGGACGGTGATCACTTGTAGTCCATCCAATTTTCGAAGCGATTACCCGAAATTGGACTCAACTTGCCAATTGCTTCACAGTTGGACTCCTACACCGACATGGCCTTTGTGTTCATTGCACGGGACTGTGGATCCTCCCTCTGGTGGGCGTCCGGAGCCCATTGGGTTAGCCAAAGAGTGGATACCCCACGATATCCAATCATTGGTGTCCCTATCGAGACAGATCCTTTAACTGAGCTTTTTCTTGAGACATCCTCAAGTGAAACTAAGGTCTTTGGCGTCCATCATTTTCTGCACAGTCTTTTGCCAGGCGGGTGGAAATACCGTTTGGATCCGTTTGGCGTTTCCCTGGTGACCCCACCAGATACGATACATTTTGGTGGCTTTTTGGGGAACCCTAATTTTGGGACATGACATACGATACCTTTGCAATTCTCTGTGGATTTCTATGGATTTCTCCGAGGGCTCCTCGGTTCCAGCTTCATTTCTGTTGGTGAAAATTACCAAAGTGGTGGGTTTCCCCAATCTTGACCCCAATTTTACATCGTTTTTGTTCTTCTGCCCTTCTCAAACCTTTGATTCCCAAATTAGCCACATTTTTCCAAAACTGCAGATGATCTTCAACACCTGCTTCGCCCTATCGGACTGTGACGGTGAGCTGCCTGAGTCCTTTGGCTTCGTCTTGTTGGACTTCAAGGCGGGCCCCTTTTCGCGGGCCATCTGGAAAAATCGGCTTATTGAAGCTTACAAGCCTTGAAAAGGCGGTCATTTCGTACACCTCCAGGGCCTTTTTGTAGACTTTTTGGCTTCAGATTTTCTGAGTGGTGAGCGGCTTGATTTTGTAGAGGGATTGCCTCAAGACGGGTGAATTGTTGTTGGTTCACCAAATTTTGAACCCTAAAAAACAACCCTGCGGCCCCATGTCATACACCGAACCCTGGCCATTTTGTTGTCATGAATTTGGGGGTTGGGAGACCTTTCGCACACCAGCAGTTTTCTGTCCTCAGATGGCCCCAGTACAAAGCGGGAATTCCCGGTACAAAATCGTGGCTCAGGTGGTTGAAACTTGTTTTTGATCCAGACCTTAACCCCCCTACAATCGCACGTACAGAGTGTCATTTTGTAAGAAATCATTCAGAAAGTTGCTCATGTGAGCTCCTTTTTTTTTGGGATGGCCCCAACCTTTTTGTACTTCAAATATCTTGAACCTCCCCATTCTGTAAGCTGCTTCTGTACGAAACGAGGGGATATCTTAATACACATGGGATACAAATATATATGTATATATATATACACACACATCCATACATCCATCCATCCATGTATACATCCATCCATGTATACATGTATACATGTATACATGTATACATGCATGCATGCATGCATGCATGCATGCATGAAACATACAAACATACAAACATACATACATACATACGTACATACGTACATACATACATGCATGCATGCATACATACATACATACATACATACATACATACATACATACATACATACATACATACCATACCATACAACCATACCATACAACCATACCATACATACCATACCATACATACCATACATTACATACCATACCATACATTACATACATTACATACATTACATACATTACATACATTACATACATTACATACATTACATACATTACATACATTACATACATTACATACATTACATACATTACATACATTACATACATTACATACATTACATACATTACATACATTACATACATTACATACATTACATACACATGCATACATACATACATACATACATTTACATACATTACATACATTACATATACATTATTACATACATTACATACATTACATACATTACATACATTACATACATTACATACATTACATACATTACATACATTACATACATTACATACATTACATACATTACATACATTACATACATTAATACATGCATACATGCATGCATGCATGCATACATGCATACATACATCCATGCATGCATGCATACATACATACATACATCCATGCATACATACATACATACATACATACATACATACATAATATAGATATTGCAACTATATTGCAACTATATCAATATTTGGCTTTGTCTGAAAATTATAGTAAAACCACGTTCCATCCACAAATCCTCCAAATTATTGATGGCCATTTGGGGGGTCCAAACCGCGTTTCGGGATCTGGCCTCATGTATTAGGCCTCATGAATTATATGATACTATATGATATTATATGATATTATATGCAACAAAACCCAACCTTTCTCCCAACTCCAAAAACCACCAGCACCCAGAGGTTTTTCTTGATATGGCATTTGTCACCCATCCCAACAGCGCCAGCTGGTGAACACGGCGGTGCGCTCGGTGTTGCCCTTTGACCCAGATGCCTCAGATTTGCCCGTGGCCTGGGATCTTGGTTGAGCCAAAATGTTGAGCGCTGGTGGCTGGGAACCAAAGATTGGGGAAAAATTGTATTGAGAAAATGAAGGATTTCTTATTTGAACAACAAAAGTGGGGATTGAAGCAAGAAAAATGAAACGTTGGCCATCAAAAGCAGGAAATTTACAGCAAGAATGGTGGTTTGAAACTAAAACTCCTCGAGCACAGCTGAGACTTGGCCAAGTTTGAGGGAACACAGCAACGAAGCAAGAGGGACAGGCCATTTTTGGTTGGTCAGATCCTGTAAGTTCAATCCCCAATTTGTCTGCCGTTCATATCCCAGTTCTGTTGGCATGATGCTCCATCACCATACCCCCGATTCTGTTGGTAGTCATTAATCCCGATGTTTTGTCAACTCCAAAGAATCTCCATGTCACTCCATGCCCACATGACTAGTCCAGTTGAGACTAGACGTCCCTGTTTTTCTTCGGTCTGAAATGCAAGGCTAAGCCTGTGACATTGAAATCTTCGGCTAACCTGGTTGGTCCGGGCCTCACTTAGGTGCCTGGGCAGGTGGTGGGTGCGGGGTTGGTGGTGGGTGGTCCCTCAGTTTGGCAACTTGAGAGCTGACCCTCTTGTTGTGGTCGAGTTGGAGTTGGATCATCAGTTGGTCCCAAGATTTTCGACCCCCGAAACTTTCAGCAAGGGTCCAGTGAAGGAGGAAGACTATGATTTTGGAGTATAGCATCGGTACCATCTCATCATCCCAAGCTCGTTGCTGCCTTGCGTTGGCACATGGTAAGGCCTGGAGAAGGTCGTAGGAGATGTGGCCCAGGCCTTGCGCTTTCCGCGGATGTTGAACAGCTGCTGGTTTTGAGTCAGTTGATTGTCGATTCATGTGATCATGTTGGCGGATGGGTCAATGGATGTCAAAATCATGGAAGAGTTGTTTTTTCACATTTCTGGATGGTGCTCAGAAACTATATAGAGAGTGCAAAGGTCAACCAAGTTGGGGGTCCCAACACACCACCGGGCAGGTCTGTATCCAATCTTTGTTTCTGATGAGCGCCAGTGCGCCGTTGGGGACCGAGGGGCTCGTTTGGTAAAGTGGGTTGATGGTGAGCTGATCATGGGCAAGGTGATGGTGATGGTTATGTCTCGGTGGTGCTGCTGCTGCTGGTGGTGGTGGTGGTGGTGGTGGTGCTGGTGTCTTAACAAATGTGGTCTAAAAAAAGGATTTAGCTCAAGCTGGGAAGAATGTATATACTATAATATAATCTCTAACAATAGAATTTAAAGGCTCCTTACGCCTGGCAACATATTACATTGAATAAAATATAAAGGCTCCTTGCGCCTGACAGCCGGCCATTGGCCAGAAGAAGACCATGTTAGGGCAAGGTTGTGGCTATGATGGCGTGGTGGTTGCAGAGGCGCTGGTCTGGCAGCGGACCTCAGCAGGGACCAAACGCGGTGTGGTTCCACCAAGCAAGGCTGAACGCGATGGGTGGCAGAAGTACGCAACGCGCCTGCGAGAGGCTGGTACGTCGGGAGCTGCTCCGGCATTTCAAGAAGTCCCGGGCAGCCTAGCTGCTCCGAGAGACACGCCAAAACCCAGGAGAAACGCCAGACTGCACAGGACCTCGGAATCGGGTGGTGTTCTGCCATTGAATAATTTAGCAGGAATGTAAAGTTAAATTGATAGATAGACTGACGGCTTGAGTTTGCCGCAGATCAAAACTTGAGTGTTTTCCTTCCTGCAGGAAAACATTACTTTTTGGTGCTTTCCCTCGTGCCAAAAGTCGTGTTCTAGATTCTCGATCGTGCTTTTTGGTGTTGTTCTCCTTGCTTTTTGGTGCTCTTCCTCGTGCCAAAAATCGTGCTTTAGATCGTGCTTTTTGATGTCCTCCTTCATGCAACAAATTGTGCTTTGGTGCGCTCCTCCTTGCATCGTGCAAAAATTGTGCTTTTTGGTGCTTTCCTTTTGAAACAAATGTGCTTTTTGGTGCTCTCCCTCGTGCCAAAAATCGTGCTCGAGATCGTGCTTTTTGGTGTCCTCCTTCATGTAACAAATTGTGGTTTTTGGTGCGCTCCTCTTGCATCGTGCAAAAATCGTGCTGTTTGGTGCTTTCCTTCGTGAAAAACATTGTGCTTTTTGGTACTCTCCCTCGTGCCAAAGACCGTGCTCGAGATCATGCTTTTTTGAATTCTCCTTCGTGCAAAAAAAGTGGTTTGTGTTGCTCCCCTTCGTGCAGTGCTTTCCTTTGTCCGGAAATCGTGGTCTAGATCGTGCTTTTTGGTGCTCTCATTCGTGCAAAAAATCGTGGTTTGGGGAAGACTATGCAAAAATGAAGGCAAGACCATGCAAAATTGTAGAAAACACACTGGAGGACCCAAGAAAAAACCATGGAAAATGGAGCGGCACAAGCCACAAGTGAAGGTCAAAACATACATGGAACTTTCCAATACAAGATAGGTGCGTACTTCATGCATATGGGGGTGTGGCACACTAAGATGGCACACAGAAATTGGAGGAGCTTCCTAGAATGCCATCAGAAGCCACAGGACGCGGTGAGGGAATGAACGCCTCCTTGATGGCATATATGCATCGTTTTGCGTGTGCCATCTTATCGCAGCTCCCTATACATGTTAGTACGTTTTGTTACATCATATGGATTTATAGTACATGTTATTTTCAGTCCATGTCATTATATTACAACGTGTTTTGCCATATTTTATTTTATTTTAATATGTTTTGTTGTTTCAGAACATTTCAGAACCTTTTTTGTAATTGCATATTACATGCATAATGCAACCTTCAAATTCTGCTTTGATTTTGGTTCAGACTATGCTATAGCACCATTTTCGGTGAATATTTCATTTTTTCTATGCATGTTTATTGTTGAATTAGGTCATGTTCCATGTTACTATGTATATATATAATATAATTATATAATATTTAGTTATTTTTTCCATTACTATTTTTGTTTGGATTTGGCTTTGTGATTTTCGATTTGTGTATTTTGAATTGTCATGTTTTTTGAGTTGTTCCGTACTATATTGCGTTTTTTTGTTCTGCCGTCATGGGTTCTTGTATTGTATTTTATTCCATGGTTTTTTTATTTTCCGACATTCTGTTGTATTACTTAGCACTACATGACATGATATTATATTATCATTTTGAAATAATATCTCGTTGTTTTCAATGGCGGATTGAATTGCTAATTGTTTTTACGATATTTTATTCAATGTTATTTTTACAACTACATATTCGATTATCTAACTATACAATTTTGTGATTTTAACTTACCGTGTACATATTTTGGAACCGTGGCAACCTTGTTTGCAATGGCGATGTGGTATACCCTTATTGTTCCGGATACCAAAGGCATGGCTTCGTGCTCTTCAGTGTGGTGATTGGAGCTCTCAACGGCTGCTTGTCCATTGCCTTGATTGTGACCCCGCCGAGTTGCTGGCATATCCTCGATCGACTCAAAACGGACTTGAAAAGGTGCCTGCAGATATACATTGTGCACATTGTATGTATTGAAATGATGAATCCGCGTGTTTTTGCTGAGTATTGTTCGACATTTGTTCTTTTCCAGGTACAAGATGCTTTACAAGCAGAGTGGGCTGTGCAGGCACGTATTTTCCTTGTAAACATCAATTTCATGGATCTGGTAAGGAAGCGAACAGATAGAGAACATAGGGAGGGCCTACAGATTCTTTAGACTTTGCATTTTAGTTTTTTTAATTGAAACATATTTGCCATGACAAGGGAGCGGACTTGAAGCTGGTTCGATGTTTCAACGTCTCATAGAACAGTTGTTCATGCACATGTCTGAACCCGGAAATCGTTGTTCGGCAGAACTGGCACTTTACAAACTTATGTGATTTGTTGTTGGGTTTTGCACATGTTGTTTGTCAAAGATAAATGCCAGTAATCGTATTGCAATGATTGCTGCTGTGTGATGCTGTGTGCATCCCAGATCAATTGGAAAACATTCCTGTACATATTTTGCTCACAATTTGAACAGATCATCGTGTTGGTGATGAGTGTTTCACATCGGAAATCCATACAGGCACTGGGAAAATGTTGTTCAAAAAAATCGCCACTGGATATATAATTTTTGTTTCAACAGTTCCTGAAATGAACGTTCACAACTATGCCAACCCTCCAAGTTTTCACGTTCTTTAGGCAGTTGACAATCCATTTTTCAGACATATGACCTTTCTGCCCCAAAAAGAGTGGCCAATTTTGGGTTTCAAATCAGGACCGTGACCTGGAGCAGGGCACCGTACTGGCCAGTTTGTCAGGTGGGTTTCAGGACCAGCTATCACCAACCTTAGGGCCTTAGGGAAAGCAGCCAACTTGGGAGTTTCGGGTGTAGCTTTGGACGCATAGCTGCTGGTGAAAAATCAGTGACATCCTCGACATATCCTTGTTTTTTGTCCGTTGCACTTGCATCCCCAATCACTTTTTGGGGAGTTATATGCCCGGTAGCTTCTAGTTTAGCCTTCAATTATATTCTTTGTTGTGTATCCCTTCTTATTTTGTTTCGTAATACCCAGGCCTGCACCCCCTGGCATTATCTTTGATTTCACATAGTTTGGATCCTTTTTTTGTTGGTCATGCCCAGTTGCTGCCAGTTCGTTTTCTTTTTGGACTCACCACCGAAATGCCAGGCGAAAAAAAGATCTTCCAGGAAGGTAGTTGCAGCGAGATGCCTCAGGACGTACCTAGTTTTGCGCGCTGAAACTCTGGGGATCATACCAGAAAATCAGGAGATTTCAGCCAGCAACCTGAGAATTTTATCAACATAGTTCAACATAGTTCAACTGAGAATTTTATCAACATAGTTCTGGTTGGAGAATTCAATCAGGAGAATTTGTCAATAAGAATTGGAGTTCAACATAGTTCAGCCAACAAAGGGAAATTCAATGCACAAAATGCGGATGTCCGACCGAAAAAGGAATATACTTTGACTAACAAACAAAAGGACATTACCGACTAGCAATATCACAAAATGGTTATGTGAAAGTTCTAGACGAATTCTGGGGGTATCCAAGTTTGATGCCTGCATACTCCCGTAATTGTGGATACTAGCAAACGTGGGGGTCTACCTTACAAAAACGGGCATGCAAGTGAGAAACGATGATGGCCAGGAGAGAAAAGAGGTTGTAGAAATTGATCCACTTAATCTGCGATGAGTCAACACCCCAACCACATAAGATAGGGGTTTGAGCCCAATTTCGACTCATATGCAGTCCATGCACCTCCTTGATGCTGAGGGCAGAATGCATGGAAAGGATCAAAGGGGTCCTTTTAGATTAAATAGTTCTAAAATTGTAGCGCAAGGTAAAGTATCGCAAGGTAAAGTATCCTGGGATGCTGTCTGATGCTGCTGACATTTGTTTCTCATTTAATGAAGATCATAAGGAATCTGATAAGTTTGTAGGATTTTCCAGTCCCCGCATTTGTTCGTTGTTAAATAAATCGTGACCCCAAAAAGTCCACTGTGGTTTGCTGTAAGATCTCACGGAAAGCACTGGGTTTGTGGCCTTCCCCCATTTATTTGGTCGTTCGCATGTTTGTCCTTCGCTATATTTTGTCATTTGCATGTTCACTGCCCAGTATGTTGCAGGTATTTCTGGTGATACCCTCACTGATGAATGTAAACATTTGGTTGGTGACGTTGAATTTCATCTCTCGGTTTGATAGTGAGATCAGTCAGATCTAATCGTGACATCCCCAGTTTTGACTGAGACTTGGTGCTATTCCATTCAACGTGAGGAGTTGCCCTGCGAACGCCTGGAGGGAGGCGCAGAACATGTTGTGACTCTCCCAAATCTCTGGAATCTGCAGACAGATGCAAGACAAGAAGGAAAACTGTTCTTCAAAGGCTCAGACTCAGAAGGGTTGACACATTTTTTATATACTTTAAGATGCTTGAGATCTTCTTGATTCAGTTGTTCCGAAGCCCTTGAAGCCATTGGGATTTCGACCAGAGATATTTCTCTCAGCTCCAAGTGACTTCCCACCAGGCCCATCCCCAGAGAGGTCGGGCTCTTGGCTTTGGATGCTGGTCTCATGGTTGGTATCTGATGATGGGCTGTTGCTTGGCTCAATACAAATCATAGCAGTGCCATAGCGGTGCCATAGCACTTATATGGCTATGGATCAATACCTATACATACCATTTTTAGGGGGATGAACATCCATAAATCCCAGCTATTTTGATGTGAACTACAGGGGTACAAGGTTTTGACACACTGCCATATGCCAACCAGTGGGTCAATGTAAATTATGCTAGATATGTTGGCTGGCTGATTGGTACGTTATCCGCAGTGGATTGGCTCAATATCCAGATGAAGTGAAGGTAGCTTTCCCGTTGCTGGGACCAGAATGGCGTACCCCCCCACTATGGAAGAGATGCCCGGCATGGGCAACTCCATCGAAGTGACGGTCCAAACCATGTCCGGCCGTCGCAGTTCTTTCTTCATGGACAAATTCGGATTGATTGGAGATGTGAAGCAACGACTCAGCAAAGAGTTGCTGATGAGTGGTTTCAGTCGTTTCAGTTTTTTTCTTTAACCTCCAAAAAATGATGGGCTCACAATGGATCAGATGTGTGTTTTTTTGTCTTTTTCATTATTTTCGGGGAAAACTCAAGCCTCAACCAGGTTGGGTCGAAGATTTCACGAGATGAAGATTCTCTGCGGAGGAAACAACCAAGAGCCTGACATGTTTGAAAAGGTCAGCACCTTCAGAGGGCATCGAGGAACAGTAGACCTCACAGTGGTGGTCAATCGCACATGTAGGTGGGGAGACGGGGATGGTTTTAATTCATGGTATGTCGTATGTTTTTAAGGTATTTCCTACTGCACAATCTGTATATCATTTTCATTTTCCAAAACTCTTCTGAAAACGATTTTTTTTTTGCAGTGGCAAGCGGATCCATAGCACGATGGAGGGATGGTGAGGAAAGGAGATACAGCGAAGGAGGGATGAAGGAAGGGAGGAAGGGAGGGAGAGAGGAAAGAAATTTAAATACTTTCTTGGACGCGAATTCCCATTTCAAAGCTCTCGAAGGCTTCAAATATTTCTTTTTCTTACTTTTTGTTGATTCTCAAAAACATCAAACATGATTAAGCACGATGAAACCCTAAACGACTCTTGTTTGAGTCAGCTCGTTTTTGTCACTTTCAGGTGGTGTCATGCACAGATCACCGATCGCAACACGGTGAATTGCAAGCTGGACACCGAAATGGGTGACTTCTGCAGCCTGCGATGCTACAATCTGATGGCCAAGGAACGGAAACATGTTGAAGTCATGAGTGGCAAAGACCTGAAAGGATGCCGGAAATAAAGATGGGCTGAAGATGATCCATATATATATATAATTATATATTATATATATTATATGTATTATACATACAATATGGTTAGGTTGGATAATTTAGATGACAACTCAACAGAACTCACTGAGTCGAAGATATCTCGATGAATTCTTGGGGACCCATGGCCTCCGTTCATAAATTCAGGCTGCGGGGGACGATTTTCGCCAGACCTATGTTCCCTGATAAACCGTTAGGTGGTTAACGCAATGACGAACTTCCCGTTGGGGATGGTTTCCAGCTTTATTTTTCTTGAAACTGCGGATGGTTTAGGAAGTTTAGGCTTTTGGGTTCATCATGGTTTATCACCTTTACATACCTTTACCAATTCATCTTAATATTGGTCATGGCAGTCATGGCAGTCATGGGCCGATCTTTTTTTTTTTCGGGGATCTTTTGAGGAGCTCTCAGATCCGACGAATGTCTTCACCATCTTTGGCTTGAATTCTGACATTCCCCGCGATCCACGTGAAATGGGTCATGGGCATCACAGCCACTACCAGCAGATGCAGTACGATCCTTGGACCATGGACCGTCGAGGAGGTTACTGAGAAAAAGACCCACAAGTGGTTGTGGCTCGAAAATGACAGGTGGATTCTGTTGGTTGAACCATGGATATTTTTCACTGTTAGATACTGTTAGCATCCCAAAATGATGAGCAATCCAGTGACCGATGTTTCTTGGAAACCACCAATGAGCAATGTGGTCAAAAGAGATTTCAATTGCTCCACTTCGTTGAGTATGGTGGACGTTGCATCCAACAGATCTGCAAAAAGTCGTGCTGGCCAGTTCTTGAGATGTTGACAACCACAGCCTGACATATGCCAACCAAAAGTGCGAACAGAAAGCATGGAAGACGCCTCAAACCCACCTTTTCCCATACCCAATATGACTTTCTTGCAATCAACCACAGATGTCCACAAATCACAATAGGTTTCTGTTTGGTAAAACTGGTTTTCACCTCCGCAAGCCGTTGTTCGTGCACCCTCCAGCGCGAAGTTTCAGGCTTGGCCGGAGCCTGGATGATGACGACATGTTGTAGGCTGAAAAATGTGCGACTGCGATCTGGGTGGTGGCTGTGTTGGTGTGGAGCATTGGATCTTGCATCACTCAATCTAGATTTGTAGGTTGGGAATGTCGTTTGCATATCTAATGACAGTTGTGAGGCCCCGTGCCCCCTTGATTCATGGATTATTGTGTGAAAGATGGACATTGTCGAACTAGTTGAGAAGGTTGCATGTCACAGCAACTTGAACCATGGTTATTCGACTGAATTCGATTTCAAACAGTTTTAGAGATATAAGTATATGTATGTATATATATATAAGATATATTAAGATGTGGTATTTTTGACACTAAAACAATGACGGTACTTTCATGGAATTTCAAATATTGTCAGCAGACCACTGCGACCATTTCCAAGGCTTGACAATCGAGCGCCTCTCAGTGTTTCATGTTGTAATGGCAGAAGACTGTTCGAGAGAACCGGGGCTGCTGACTCTTGGCTCTTAGGCTGTATTGTCTTAGGATCATCGCAAGCTGGATCTTCAAAGTAGCGACGCTTGGCACGGGCAAACTGCAAACAACTTAGACACATCTTAGCAGTACAAAGGGTGGAAGCCAAGCTGCACGAGAAACCCCATCCGGCGCTGTAGTTTGGGGCTACATCGCCTCGCTCGAATTGAGCTATAAACATGATTTAGCAATGCCGAATTGTTGATTGTTTGCTGGCATCGCATTTTCTTTTGACTTTCTACGATCTTCTCATCTTCTCAGATGTTTTCCCAAATGTCGAGCTGCCTTATGAGGCTCACTAGCACCCGCAGCCCAGTTAAGAGGACATCTGCAGCTGCACCTGCCGACCGAAACGCAGCGCTTCAGACTTTGCGCGTTAGCTCGCGCCATGGAGCTGTGCCATGGGCATGATTGCTCAGCGTTTGATCGTCCTGTGGAGTTTTTTGGGGCGCCATTTGGTCCATTTGGGTTTGGTCCAATTTTTGGAGATACGAAACGAAGTGGTCACTGTAAATTTTAAATAGTAAGAACGATGATAAACCACTAGGCTTTGGTTTGCATGGCATCCTTTGACCTCAAGGTTTGAGAGGCTTCGGGGGAAGAGATACCCTCTGGTAATTTAACATAGCTATCGAAAATGATCATTTATAGATATTTATAGTTGATTTATCTATGAAAAGTGGGGATTTTCTATAGCTATGTTAGTTTACCAGAGGGTAAACAGATAGCAGGCCTTGAAAAAAGACCCCTGGTTCTCACCGTCCCGGCCTAAGGTCTTGAGACACGTGGACCACGCAACTGATCGTAGAATGGCCGAGGCCGAGGCAAGGGGCAAGGGTTGTTCTTGGGGGAAGCTGGGGACACTGGGACATCCAGTGTGCAGAGATGCCCTTGTGGATTGGAAACCTTGCTTTTGTACCATGGCAGCACAGCAAAGCCCTTCAAGACTAGAGCCCTCCTTGAGCTCAAATGGCAAAGACCTGCCAGCACTGCTGGTTTTCCATTGATAGGGTGCTTGTTTGAACACTGCTTCGCCAACACAAATCGATAGTGACCTCTACAAAGGCCAAAAGAATCCCAAAGGACCATTCCCAATCATCCCCAACTCTTACATTTTCACATATTTTCACATGATACCTGCCAGAAGCAACCAAGGTTCACCCCTTTTGATAGACCCTAACAGTCCCTGTTAGTCTGGCCAAGATTGTCTGTCCAAGCCCACCAAACAGTCCAAAAAAAAAATGCACTGTGCTCCAGGGCGAGATGCCACTGGAAGACCGGGAGGCAAACCTGAAGAAAATCCAAGAGAAGTGTGGCGCCAAGGATAGGCCCAAGGGGCCCAAGGGGTTCATGATGGCTGCTCCACCACGCAATCCACGTTGGAATGGGGAACTGATAAGCTAATTTCAAGGTATATATTGTCCGGGTACAAACTTCTCATTCAATGGCCTCCTAAAAATCCTGGTTCTTAGTGGTGAACCTGGAAACTTCACCAAGGGTTTCCCCAGCTATGGCTGAGGTTGGACTACCTCATGACCAAAGAGAACTTGCAGGAGGCCGCCGCAGCCTGGGATAGGCCAGCTCTGCTAGGTGAGGTAATCTTGATCACCTAGAAAGTAGTCATCCAAAAGATCCAGGACAGGATTGCCAACCCTGAGAGTTTGGCCACTTGGTCCCATATTTGCTGTGACCTTCACAACTTTTGGTTGACCAAGTACGAAACCTCCAGCATCCTCTCGCCAGTCTTTTTTTAAAGCACAAAGAAGCCAATCTTGTCCAAGCTGCAGATTGAGCAAGATTCTGCGACAGGACAGCTTCATCCAGATGAACATGGATGCACAGATGAACATCCCAATTTGTATTCTGGCAGGTGCGGGTGGCTTTCGAACTTTGTTCCTCCATCATTTTTCAATTGGAAAGTCTGTTTTTTTTGATCCAGAGAGGCCATGAGAAGTTTGAAGAAATGGGCAAAATCGTAGATGTCTCGAGCCTCTACGATGCTGCGTTCAAGCCTCAGCAATCTCAGCATTTTCTCTGAAAATTGTGATTGCTTTGGGAGTGTGTGCGGTGAAAACCATAATCCATGTTTTGCCGTTCAAGTACTTTCAGACTCCCAAGTTTTGACATGTTTTTCACTTTGCATATAATGTCAACCCTGGATTAATAACCCCCTAGGCTGTTTAATTGGGAGGGTACCATTTAAGTATCAAATCATGACTATTGGGGGAAAACCCCCTAAGTAATAAACCATGGTTTATTAATCCGGGGTTGACATTATGAACAAGAGACACACACACACACGCACATACATATTGATATGTGTACATATATTTTGTATAATTATATGTATATATTTATATGTATATATATGTATATGTGTATGTATATATATATATATGTATAATGATATGTACACATACAGACAAATTTAGATATCCACATCATTTTGTTTTGACCTGTGCCCATTTGGAAGAAGGAACCACTCGATTTAACGGGGGTTTGTGATTAACAGGACCTTACGTTGAGGTGCTTCTGGCTAGGCCGTTTGATCTGAAGAAGACAGCGACCATCGCTGGCCCAACATGTTGCCGTGGCCGCTAGCTTTTGCCGTGGGCCGTATGACCAGCAGGGTGCCCCTGGCACCCTTCATGAAACCCAAAGTGATGATTGGAGTTTTGGCACTGATGGGGATGAGCCAAGTGAGCTTCAGCCTGATGAGACTTGGGGTGACTGGGATGAGCTTCGTGCCTGATTTAGTGTCCAAGATGGCTCTTTGGTCCAAGGAGACAGCTGAGAATTGTGTTCTCCGGCTACCAGATCCAGAAATTCCAAAGGAGATAAATGGGAAGGATCAGCTTCCTGTGAAAGAAATGGGTATTTTCTGTGGTGGAGCATTGCTGGGAATACTGTGGCTCAAGGCGAAGCAAAAGCGAATGCAATATTTGAGATGGCTTAGATGGTCCAGATGATTCAGTACAATTCCATCAGAGCCAATGAGTGGAGCCTTCGTTGTCCTACTTTAACGGAGATATGAAGGAACGGCTGACAAGGTTTTGAGACTCTTTCCCAGCGCGGCCAAAAAGGTAAGCAGCTCTGAAAAAAAAGTCAGTGCTTTCTTGGAAACCTGGTCGAGACTTACCTTCTGATCTGTGATCTTCCATCCATGTTCAATCCCCTTTAGGAAACGAGCGGTGACCCTTCTCCCTCCACTCCCAGGCTGAAGTCCGAACATGTTGTGGTGGACAAGGCGCGGCGGCTCAAGAGATTTAGCACCTCCACTCATTGACTAGTATTGAGTATTCAAGAGCCCAAAAATTGGAAAGACCCCTATACCAAACAGGTACATAGCCATCAAACATGTTGGCGCCAAACCCCACGTTCGCCCAAGCCCAAAGAACATCCCCAAACAATATCATAAACTGTCACCAGAGGATGAATGAAAACACTGGCTATACGCAGCAATTTTCACTTGAGGTTTTTTAGGATTTAGGGTTTTTATTAAGGGTTTAGGCTTTTGGGTTTTTAGGTATCGGAAAGTAAAAAACGCTAGCCGTACGCAGGGATTTGAGCATGTCCTTGCGGATATGCGATATGCGGGATCCGATGCGGGCAAACGTGGGGTTTGCAGCGAACATGTTTTCTTGTTTTAAATAATGTTCAAGTGGTCGATATTTCATGATGGCCAACTTGGTGGTTCCAAGGCACCCGATGTCCCACCTCTTCATCTCTGGCCGAGGTCGCCATGCAGGTGAAGCCAATCATCAAGAGCAAGAGGAATACGGTGATTCTTCACGATCTTCCAGACCAGATACCTCTCGAGGATATCTACGGCCATATGGCCATGGATGGGTTTTGAGGTAGATGTGATTGCGGGTTGTCTATCCCTGTGATCAACTCCAAATGACTGCTATTCATGAATTATTCATGGCATGGAGTAAAACCACCAACCACAGATGTAACTATTGGGGTACTATGGGAGCGGGAGGATTCACATCACCATGTTTTCGTTAGCAGAGCAGATGCCCCTTTATCAAGCCCAGTGCACCTGGCCACTGCTGCTCAAAATTTGGCCAAACCCAGTATGGCCAGCCGCTCGCGCGTGGAAGATGTGTGAGCAGGTGCCACCGGGATGGTCGTGACTAGTGACACCATTGAGGCATTGGAACATGGGACGGCCATCACTTGGTCTTGTGGGCTCAACGGCCTCAAACCACGGAGCTGCATGGCTATGACCAAGCGGTTGCAGCGCTTGTCGGATTTTAAGGTGTTCATCCTGAGGCAATCAAACGTGGTAATTAAATGTAATTAGGTATAGAAATCCATCATAATCCATCATAATCCATCACTTCTGGATGATTTCAATTCAATGTTCTAAATATTTTCAATTGGTGATATCCCGCAGCCAACGTTTTTCGATTCCTGGAGGGTAAACGTTTGAATAGAAAACACTGGTGACGAGGTGCCATTCAAAGCTGGAGATCGGGTCTATGTCTGGAGCGCATCTCGCAGGAGGTCTATGTCTGGAGCAGTTTTGGGTCCCAAATGCAGAAGTGGTCAGCAGACTTTTGTTTTAATATGTTTGAATTTTGGACCATGTTTCTAATGGGAAGGTCAAGATCAAAGTATTCTTGGGTTGCAAAAAATCGAACCCTGTTGATTTCAGGCCTAATTGCAATTTGATCCTGGTCAGAACTAGGCGAATCTTCGACAAAATGTGTCATCTGATGTTTTTGTTCTCCACAAAGTTGGCAAAAAGGGAGCTCGCCAGGACTCTCAGGACATTCTCAGGACTATCTCTCATCATCTCTCATCATGAAAACTCAGACCCTTTCCATGCCATCTTCTGAATCAAGGCCGCCACTCCCATTCCCTCATCCGTCTGTGGCAGGTGGTTTGACGATGGCGAGATCCAGGCACCCTGAGATACGATTTGAGGAGATTCCAGGTTGTCATCCTTTAGATCCACATCATATCCTCATTGGAACTGGGTATATCGGTGTATATCTATTTATTCTATTTCTTTTGTCCACAACGTGGCGGAAAAGGAAAAATGACAGGCAAAACTCGACTTCTATCTGTTTGTGGCCAACTATACATTATGCTACAAATCATATATGTTTGGTACATATCCAGATCTTCCAACTTGATCCCAATTGGCGTAGTTAGTTGGCATAGTTGGCACAGTTGGCCTTGTCCACGACAGTGGCAGGTGGTGAGGGAGCAGGGCTCTGTGGTGGTTCGCTTCAACAACGCCAAGCCGGTGGCGAAGGAGTTGCCTTTGAGGCACATCCACCAGGCGTGGCACATGCCATGAAGTTTGTAATCACTGGTGGAAGTGTCAAACCTAATCCACTGAAAATCATGATCCCGTGTTCCTCAACAGCATGATTTTCGAATTGATGTCCCTTTAGTTTTCAGCTCCAGTCTCCTGGAGTGGTGTGAGTCAGGTCTTGCGTCCCGCGACAGCCAAGAAGTCACAGGATTTGCGAAGTGCAGTACGACAGGTGCCGAGGGTTGGTGGCAGTTGGTGTTCGGGGGATGAACATTCACCGGCTATTTTGGTATTCACCAGGGTACCAGGGACCCGTAGCCGAGTCAGTTCACAAACAAATACCTTAGAAGAATTCCTGCTTCCAGTCCCTTGAGGGAAGCTATTTTTTCGACATTTGGTGGAGTTTCTACTTTCTGAAACCAGCCAAACACCCTTACATACCCTTACTATCTTCCAAACTTAAGGATGGGGGGTCTGGTACAGGTCCAGTCTCTTATTTTGCCTCCTTCCACTGCCGTCCAGAGGCCCTTGGAACCGGCCATGGCCCCAAAGATGCGGCGCAACGCCTCAAACGCCTCTATGAGGCGACCAAGGCACGACCGGGCGATCAAGTTTGGTAATTCATTTTTCCGCTTGGGGGTGGGTCAAAATTGAAGACCAGCATTTTTCGGATCTTTTGCTGGTATCAATGCGATCAATCAAGTTTTCTGGGTACTATATTAATACGGGTATATTCCAATCAAAGTATGGATAAAACCACGTCTTGAAAGTTCCACCAAATCCAACAATGGTTGCAGCCATATATTTTTCTACGTGTCCCTGCAAAATGAACCCTGTTGAAGACATTTCTTCGGGTCGGGTGGCAGACCAGCAGCCACAGGCAGCGGAGGTTTCAACAGACACCAGTCCACAGCTCAAAGACCTCGTGACGAGACAGCTGTAGCTTGGAAGCAAGACATGGGAGTCGGAGCCATCACTGTTTTTTAGTGGGTGAATTGTATAGAATCGCAGTCAACTGTTCAATGGCAGGTAGGTTGGACTATGTTGGACTTTTTTTCATGGTGGAATATTTTAAAGTCAGGTTTGCTGATTTGCCTTTTGCACGGCCATGCTGCCTAGGATGGACTTCGACAAATTCACCTCCTGGCTCTATGTTGAGAAGGCCTCCGTGCCAACTCCTGGGTCGGGATTGGAAGAGCCATTCACAGGCCACTTGCAATTACCCTCTGGTTATTTAACATGGCCATGGTATAGATGGCCCACTTATAGATGGTTTACCTATTAAAAATGGTGATTTTCTATAGCTATGTTAAATTACCAGAGGGTACATGCATTGGGGTGATGTTGTTGAGTTGAGTCATAGTCACCAAGCGGTGCATGTCTCGCTTCCGTCTGCCAGGCGGCCAATGTGCTGCCCAAAGTCCCTGCATTCGAGGAACCACCTCCGAAGCTGCAATGCACCAAGCAGGCACCGGGCCAGTTTCGGTGGGTGTAATATCATATAAAGCCAATGGACCCAATACTGGCTATTAAGCCAGAACAGAGGATGGGGGATGGACATCCACATCCACGGGTCACGGGATTCTGATCACAACGAGGGTTCACAGGCAGTGCCGCAAGCATTCTATAGCCAATTTGGGCATGTTTGATCAATGTTGTCCGCATCACATATCCCATATGTGCGAGCTCAACACAGTCCCTGGCCACCTAGCACCTAGGTTGGTGAGAAGGCCGCTCGAAAGATCTTTGCCGGCTGCCGGATTCAGATCCTCTTTCCAGGCGGGGTGAACCCGGTGAACCGCAAAGTCAATAGCCATCAGCACCCACATTGACTTTTTGTGAGTCTAAACCATGTCTAAACATGTCTAAACCCCACTGATGTAGATGCCATCTTGACCTGGATCAGGAGGTAACGCCATGTCCCTGACGCGGAAGGAGCTTTTGGAGGCAACGGCCGGTGGAACCACTTTGAATGGACGTTCCCTCTACATGGGGCGTTCTCAAATCTTACGAAGTTGCAACCTAGCAATCAGCAAGGGTTATGAACTTTCACGGCTCGGTCTCAAATTCAGATGCAACCTCTGGATTAGTAAGGGTTTGGAAGGTGATTTCACACTTCATGGTCATTTCATGCCATTTGGAAGGCATTTTTCCGAATTTTTCCCAGGGATTTCACTCCAGGCCCGGCTGCGGGAAGAGGGTGGCGTGGCAGCTGATGCCGAGGCCACCCACCTGGTGGTGGCCTTGGGAGCGCCGAGGCGAGTTGAGAGTTTCTCACAGATCTTCACAATTAATGAATATCAGATTAGATTCAATTAATAGAATTTAAATGAATGTAATAGATCTAAGACATTCATATCATCAATAGATCTTCTATTGATTCACATTAATAGATCTATATTAATGAATGGATTCCAATAGATATCAATAGATGAATATAGATCAGAATAGAATGACTAATAGATCTAGTGACTAATCCACTGGAATTGAATAATAATGAATAGATCAATCAATAGATCTAGTGATGAATCATACTAATCTACTGGAGTGTGTTTGGCTCACTTGGGTCGCTAGTGGCTTTGAGAATCTCAGCTGTGTGTTTGATGCCTGCGCCATCCAGCTGCAGAGTCGGACCCCGTCGCAGGTCGTTGGTGACGGACCTTGCGGTGGCACCCCGGCTGCGTGTCGAGTCGTCTCAACATGGACCAATCATGACCAATCACTTTTGTATGTCCAACAGCTTGCAGCTAAGGCACCCGACGTGGAGGCCATCTCCCTCCCTCTCTCTCTCTCTCTATATCTTTGGTCTTTAGAAGAGTGACAAGCAAGATCACAGGATGATGTGTTCTTTGACGTCATTTGATGAACATCTATATGAACATCTATATGAACATCACATCTATATGAACATCACATCTATATGAACATCACATCTATATGAACATCACATCTATATGAACATCACATCTATATGAACATCACATCTATATGAACATCACATCTATATGAACATCACATCTATATGAACATCACATCTATATGAACATCTCATCTATATGAACATCTCATCTATATGAACATCACATCTATATGAACATCTAATCTATATGAACATCACATCTATATGAACATCACATCTATATGAACATCACATCTATATGAACATCACATCTATATGAACATCACATCTATATGAACATCACATCTATATGAACATCACATCTATATGAACATCACATCTATATGAACATCACATCTATATGAACATCACATCTATATGAACATCACATCTATATGAACATCTCATCTATATGAACATCTCATCTATATGAACATCACATCTATATCACATCTATATGAACATCTATATGAACATCTATATGAACATCTATATGAACATCTATATGAACATCTATATGAACATCTATATGAACATCTATATGAACATCTATATGAACATCTATATGAACATCTATATGAACATCTATATGAACATCTATATGAACATCTATATGAACATCTATGTGAACATCTATATTAGATAGATTTAGATAGGTGATCCCAGCATTTTCCTCCAATCCTATCGTTGCCACCAGGTGGTCACCGACGCATGGCTCTGCGACAGCCTGCTGTTGGGCCAGCGGCTGCCAGTCTCGCCACGCTATCGCTGGCGTCCGGAGCCGGAGGAGTCAGTGGAGGTCTGGAAGCTTTTTTCACGGCAAGTGGGGATGGGTCAAAACCCTGGTACCCTGGTGAACCCCAAAATAGCTGGTAAATGGATGTTCATCCCACTAAAAATGTATCTATAGGTATTGACCCATAGCCAAGTTGCCACTGGTGCTCCATTAAAAAACCAAAATGATCTAAAATTAACATTGAGAAGATTGAGAAGATTGAGAAGATTGAGAAGATTGAGAATGTCTACTTTCAATTAGTGGCCATGTTGTCCTTTCGCGGAGTAGTAGGGGACTGAAAATCATTCGTGGCAGAAGTTGGGTTTCCACTATTTGTGCCATGGTACTCCCGCCTATCTTGCACTTTAGAGGATTTGTATCTGTAGGCAGGCTTGGGTCAAACATGTATACATCCAAAGTTGGATGTCCAACACTAAATCAGCAGGTTGTTGCATCAACCCATCAGGCGTGCATGTTGTCCGTAGGTGCCTGCAGCTCCGTTGCAGAAAGATATCAAGAGGCCTCGGGCAGGGGTATATTTCTATTTTTCAGGATCCCGAAGTCAAGAGAATGTTGACACCATGTGGATGTATTCGAAACATTGGGGCTGACAAAAATCAAAAAGTCATAAAACACATCAGAAATTAGCAGAACAGGTCCTCCTAAAGCATTCTAAAGTGATGGATATGCCGGCTGAAGCAGATCAACACAATCAACATTCCACATTGGCAATCAGCACGCCCAGCCCAGCCGTTCGAGAGGCAAATCTACAGCTGCAAGGTGCGGATGTTTTGGGATCAGATGTGCAGCTTGCTGGCATCCAGGAGGTTGGTGGGTAAATCTAGGAATTATTCAGATATCTTCTGGTAATTTAACATAGCTATTGAAAATGGCCATTTATAGTGGATTTACCCATTGAACATGGTGATTTTCCATAGCTATGTTAAATGACCAGAGGGTACATTTCAGATACTATCTTTGACTCCAAACATATGGCGGAGCCTTTTTGCCACTATGGTTCAGACTTTTATCCCCAACAGGCGGACCTACAGACTTTGCTGGGGTCGCTGGGCAGCCCAGCGATGGGGGAAGCTGGGATTTGACGAGTTCTTTTGGTTGCCAGCATGGTTACGATCGATGAACATCACATGACATGATGAAATACCAATTTTCAACCCTAGGTTTCTGTCTCTCTTCTGGTTGATTTCAATCATCATTTTACAGATGGTTTAAAAAACAGTTATATATCATATCAATTTTCAATCATGATTTTATATAGATGGTTTTCCATTGATATACTGCACCCATTTTCAGTGGTTTAGTCAGAGTTTTTTCCAGGCCGACCCATCTCTGGAGGACTGCCGACGCTGAAGATCTTCGCGCCAAAGTGGTGGATGAGCTCCTCGGCGCGTTGGGAGAATGGGGAGAAACCACCTCCGGGATGCTCCTGGTAGCTGTGAATCATTGTAGCAATGGATATTGTAACCACATTAACCACCAAATTCAATGGATAGGTCGGATAGGAATGGTTTTTGCCATGGTTTTGATTCGTTTTGATGATTCGCCTTGACAGCCTTGTGTTTTCCCATCCATTCTCAGGGACCGCAAGGTCATAGTGGCAACATCATATTTGAGATCCTTCCTTTTGGCATGCCATGGACAGGTTTCGAACTTGTTCAGCGGCCTGGGCAGTGCGTGGCGACAAGTGGCGATCATGGCAGTACAAGAAGGTGTGGTTATGGTTTTGGTGCTAGGGGTCAGCTGTAGTGCTGTAGGTGTGTCCAAAGTTTGGGGAGCTCAACTTTTGGAATAGATTGTGGTGTTGCGCAGATTTTTGTTGAATCTGCTTGATGTGAAGCCAACCAGCCAGGCCGAAAATCTCGTTGCGCAAGCTCGTTCCTCCATGTCTGTTCAGGTCCCAGGGGTTAGTGATGGACACCCGAAAATCCTCATGACATGGTTGATTTCCTGCAATCTAAACACATTTTGATGAAGTGATGCATCCCAAATTGCAAACGTGGAGGTTTTAAGTTATAAGTTATAAGGATAAAACTCATCCTGCTGACATGGGATGAGGGTAAAATTATTGAGCCCTCAAAAAATGGATAGTTTCATATCCAATACTGTACTGTAGTCCAATACTGCTAAAAAGATCGATTGCGTGGCTCCATTGGTACCCATTTTGACCCATCTGACCATTACACAATCAGGTTTGAGGTCTCCGCCTTCGCTAGGACCTGAAGTCTATTGGCCTCACCCCAAAGTTCGTGCAGAAATGCCTGGACTGGGAGGGGTTCGTAGGATTTGTAGGAGCTGCCTGTATCTGTATGACTGCAATGCGGCCGGAGGAATTTCATCATGTTTGATGGTTGTTGTTTTAGTGTCCATGAAACCTCATGGACTGCCACCTTGGTACTTCTGGAAGAGCTGTTTGCAGGAGATCAGAGAGAGGGGATACCTGGAACAAGCTGAAGCCTTTCGCAAGGCTTTTGTGAAAAGGGGGGGCAGTTGGAAGGTCGTGGACACTGATTGAAAGCGTAGTCACCAATTGCAGTACATAACTGCGAAGGAAACACTTGTGGCTGTTTTGCAATATCTAAATAATCAAATAATCCATCAGACATAATATATATATATAGACATATATTATATGTCAGATGTCTATATACACATATCACTATGACGACTATATATACGTATATATATATATATAACATATGTATGTATATATATATATATATATATAACATGATAATATTGTTGTGTTTCGCAATCAAGGTGGTTCAGTGGAATTTAAGGAATACCTATGGATCATAAGCTTTTGCAGATGCACAACCAATAAAAAAATCCAAATTTGCACATAACGATGTGTTTTTATAATAAATTTATCAGTGAGAATTCTGGGCTGAAAATTGTACGTGTTTTTTTTTTGTGAAGATCGATGTTCATTTGTTTTATGATGAATGGAGGGATGAACTAGAAACCTGTTGGTTGCATAAGCTGAAAAGCATAAGATGTTGTGTATATTGGTCCCACTGAATTGTTCAGCTGTCAGTCGTCAGAAAGCTGATTTTCATTTCAATTTCCATTGAACTGGCATGGCATGGACTGGACAGTGACTAGTGACTGGCGACTGATTGAACCAACAAAATCAGGAAACCAGACAATGGCTAGGGATAGGGTCTAGAGTCACTCGAGTCTAGGGTTAGGTCAAGGCCAAGGTTCAGGGTCTAGGTACAGGTCTAAGTTTTATCTAAGAAATATTGATATTTTTGATTTTAGAGAGTTTGTGAAAAAATGTAAAAACAACACTAAAATTTTAATTTCAATTTCAGTTTCAGTTTCAGTCAGACAATTTCAGAGATGTGTTTTTTTTGAAAATTTATATTTAAATAAATTGTTTTTTCAATCTTAAATCCATGGTAATTCCTTAAGTTCCACTTCCACTGGCATGGACTTCTTTTTCTCCTTAAATTCCAGTTTTTTTTTGTTTTCCTTAAATTCCCGGTAATTCCTTAAATTCCACAGGTCAGTGGAATTTAACTATTTTATAGTTTTTATCATTTAATGATTTTGATTATGTTAGTCCAAAAATATCTAAAAAACATCAAATTTGTTGCATAGATTCCTTTTGTGTCTATTGAATGAATTTTATGTTTTAAGATGAATTTTCATTTAAATCATCAAAATTGTTAAATGAAAAAAATTGTCAAATAGTTAAATTCTACAGACTTGAGGAATTTAAGGAATTATCGGGAATTTAAGGAGGAAAAAAAAACCGGGGATTTAAGGGGGAAAAAAAAACGGGAATTTAAGGGGAAAAAGAAACGGGAATTTAAGGGGAAAAAAAAACGGGAATTTAAGGAAAAAAAATAAGGAAAAAAAACTTGAGCATTGACTTGAGCCTTGAGCCCAAAAAAAGAAACACCACAAATAAAATTAAATACAAAGAAGTAAAATATTTGAAAAAAAATGTGTTTGTCTTTCAGAAATTAAGAACATAAGACCCTTAAATTCTACAGATGTGTGGAATTTAAGGAATTATCGGGAATTTAAGGAGGAAAAAATAAAAAACGGGAATTTAAGGGAAAAAAACAAAAACGGGAATTTAATTGGAAAAAAACGGGAATTTAAGGAAAAAAAACCGGGAATTTAAGGAACAAATTAAGGAAAAAAAAACTTAAGCCTTGACTTGAGCCTTGATCCCCCCCCCAAAAATACCACAAATAAAATTAAATATAAAGAAGTAAAGTATTTGAAAAAAAATGTTTGTGTCTTTCAGAAATTAAGAAAACAAAACCCTTAAATTCTACAGGCCTGTGGAATTTAAGGAATTATCGGGAATTTAAGGAGGAAAAACAAAACGGGAATTTAAGGGGAAAAAAAAACGGGAATTTAAGGGGAAAAAAAACGGGACCCACTGTTCAGCTGTTCGTTGTCAAAATTGCACGTAACAAAGCTGTTGGTTGCATGTTATGTAAAACAAAACATGATGGAATCCGTCATAACTCCACTTCCATAGTATAAATCAAATAAGAAAATCTAATAATCCTTATATCCCCATAAATAGCTTAAGAGCTGGAATTACGAAACACCACAGATAATATTATGGTTATAGCCCATCATACACCCATGAAATCCCTGATTTGCGTTAAGTGTGATGCTCATCTGCACAGCCGAGCGCCTTGGGTCAGGACGCAGATATTCACACTCTCCTGGAGCTGACACGGATCCATGGAGTGGGCCCTGCTCTCGCACAGGCATGGTTGAGGCGCCGGGTGTGAGCCACAAACACGACCACTTGTACTGATGACCTATGGATGACCTATGGATGACCTATGGATGACCTATGGATGACCTATGGTAGTATTGTCACTTTCTATACATTTCATACGTATCATTCATGACATGGTATCACTGTCAGGGAGAGATCCAATTACAACCATAGTGTTGGAAGAATAAAGGCCCATCTATTGTCCATGGCCCACATGATCTATGTCCCAGGCCAGGCCCAGTCCGCACCAGGAGAATAACCAGCCCTTGCAATGTTTTCTGCCGGTGTAAACTTTTGGGCTCCATGTGGGGGCATTTGTTGCTGGTTACGCTGCACTCCAAGAAACTTATCCCAGTATCATCCAGTATCCTCTTTCTATGATGGGGATTTAAGCAGCACAGTAATACACGGTAAATAAGCCCATATCAGCGGTTGTTGCTTCTCAATCAGCCTTTTTTCAGCCCTGAGACTTGGGGGTTCATCTTTGGGGTTGCTTGAATCACCATGAGAAAGCAACTCACTAATTAATTAGTGATATATCATCCTTCATGTCCTGGTGAATGCAGGTGCGGCGTTCGCTCCATAGCTGACGTGCGTTCGCGTGTGGACACGCTGCCCGGCACGGCTACTGGGGCGGCCACGGGACTCACCAAGGTGGGAACCTTACTTGTAGTTGAAAGCCAAGTGGTTTCCACGGATTTTATGTTTATTGTTCCAGGAACAACCTGACAAAACATTGAACACCAAATTTCCGGGATCATTCTCAAATGTCTAACATGTTGAAACACATCATGGGAAGATTGTGAGCTCCCATGGAGGTGCAACGCCTGGGACTTCGCTTTGTGGAAGACTTTCAGGTGACTGGGCTGACTGGGGAAGGGGTGACTTGGAATGGCACGAGATTCACATGTAGAGGAAAAGGATGTACAAAGTTGATGATTGGCGGAGTTGCATGATGGTACTGGATGGGCAGACACACACACACACAGGACACACTGTAGACCCAGCTTTTCTGACATGACACTGGAACATCTTCCCCCCTGTTGATTCTCATTGAAGTTGGGACACTCCCAGCCCTGCCATGTTATTTGACGGCGTGAAATCCACCAGGTCCCAGTGTGTCGTTCCGAAGTGGAGCGGATCTATGCGCAGGTGCTGCGCCAAGCACAGGCGGGTTGGGGGCGCTTTGGAATGCTTCATCTCGCCAGGGAAATTCGATGAAATTCGTATGTGGTCTACGTTGCTTTGACATATATGTTGACTTAGTATCGAATCGAGATATTCATGGACATGTAATTGCAGACATGTTCTGATAAGTATCCTGTATTCCGACATACAGAATAAATGCGGACAAAATAGTTGGCGGATCTTTTGCTATGTAGTTTGAACTTTGTTATGACATTAATGAAGAATGTCTTGACATGTTGTTTGACTTTATTTCCGGCCTGTCTTTTGACAAGGGCTCTGACATATATCCTGACAGAGGCTGTGACATATAGTAGTTTGACTTATGTTCCGACAAATGTTGTGACGTACTTTCTGATGTGTTATTTGATGTTATTTGGCAATTTGGATGTGGCATTTAGCATGGCAGCGGTGAATATCAGATGCGCTACAGGCATTTTTTCATTTGGAAGCATTGGGTTTGGGTCCGGAACGAGGGAAGCGGTCTATGGGATCAACTGCGGGGTTGTTTTTGCGGTTCACGAAAGGGGCTTCGCTTCGGTTCTAGATTCTAGAACGCCTGTGTCCGTGTTTCGAAGCTGCCTGTTGGAGTGTGCTGCTCTTGAGTCCTGTGAGGTGGGGCCACGTGTTGAGTTGACACGACCCCACCTTGTTTGCACAAGTGCACGCTGTCCCACCCCACTCCACTCCGAATCCATTGGCAAGTGCAAGTGAATGGTACCATCCCACCCCACCCCACACTCCCCAGATCGCTGGTGTTCCTGGTGTTCCAAAGTGACCCTGCGACCACTAAAGC